ATAAATAGTAGCTTTTATAGTAACCGCGTAGTACGGGAAGCTTTAAATACTCTTGAGTATCGTCTATACGTCCACAAATAAAAATAGGTTTGCTTTTTTTTGCCATATCTAGACGATTAATTAATTAACGTTTGTTAATTTATAGGTTGATAGTCTCATATCGTGCCTATTCGGACAATTTCGGACAAACTCGTTTACCCTGAAACTCACATACCCAGTGAATGTCCTTGACCATATTTTAGTACATTATAGTAGTCTATCCATGTACTATATGGTCTAAGGTACAATACAAAGTGTGTACTCTAAACAAAGATAAAGAAGTAAGTAAAAGAAACCTCTAACAAAGAAAGATCTATAGGTAATAAGAAATCTATACCGCGCAAATAAAGAACGAAGGTAATAAGAAATCTAATACAAGAATAACTACATCTAAACTAGTACTTCATATAGTTACGGGGGATCATATTTACGTAGAACTCTAACCGATCAACAACGGTATCGACGGCAAAGAAATACTTACCTTAAATACACACCTACAGGTTCACGGGTTCACCTATCAAGCCCACCTGTCCTATCACGGAAGTCGCGTGCATATTAATACCAATGTACTAAGTTTAATAATAGTTTTGTGAAAATAAATAAACGTTACAATATAAAATGATAGTATTGTACTAAACAAAGCATACGGAATATCAGAATAAAGAATACTGTAATATAATTAAATTTATGCTTTTGATGACATTGTGAAGCGAAAACGGACAGAATAGCTAATTGAGGTCTTTTATGAAAGTTTCAATTCCTCTTTCAGGCGACATTTAAGCTTTACGAATAAGAGGTTCAAGCTCGACTGATTTTAACTAAAAGTTTTCGAGTACAGATGTGCCGCCACTATCTAAAGAAATGCCTATTGTACTTGGAGAAAAATCGAGAATCAACGTTTATATTTAAATATAGAAAGCACTTGCAATCAAAATTCAGTATATCGAAGTAAATGGGATGCCAATTTGTACTTGCATCATGCACGCAACGCCCGTAATCCTATTAAGTAACGACCTCATCTCATCGCCACTGTAATTAGTGAAATGCTTAAGTGTAGATGCACTTTGCATTGATAATAGCGATCAAGTTCAATTTACAGTAAGTTTATTACGAAAAGCAATTTATTTCTGATTACCTATTAAGGTTACTTGAAGCGTCGATTTTCGATGAGCACCTACCTAACAGCTCTCCCTCTCTCTTTACCGTCATTAAAAAGACAATATAATCTACTTTTTCGGCCTCCGAGGAAGTTTTTTCACAAATTCAGATCGGTTCTGAATGTTCGAGCATGAGTGACATTGTTACTCGACAGTGCTTTCAGACAGCAACTTGCCGAAAACTTGCGTGATAAATTTGCAAGTTGACTTATAGTCCAGGGGGCAGCGACATTTTTTGTGCACTCATTTCTACAAAGCTGATATTCTGCCATTTTATTGTTTTGATATTACAAGTAAACAAAACGGTAGTCTACCGCGTCGGCAGTATTGCCTAAATTTGCAACAATGTTCTGAACATGTTAATAAATACTATGTACATGCATCATTTCTACAAGAATGAAAGTTTGTACAGTAATTAAGTATACCTAAAAATGAAGTGTGGTAATAGTCTACCAAGCTGGAAGCGTTGCTATCACAAGTCTACCACCCACGCAAGATGCATAAAAAATTATTCGATTCAACCTATTTCTACAAAGATGACATTTTTGTTGGAAAAAGTTGATGTCATAAGAAACCAAAAAAAATGGTCTACCAATCGCGTGATGTTGCTAAGGTCTCGGTAGACACGCTGGAAGGTACGATTATCCGAGCGCCGCTGCTGCACTGCTCTGCTAATAGTCTTTAAATTATACTCGTATTACCTATACACGGGCACAAAATTTTTCTTTATCTAATGATACACGAATTAGTTCATTTTCAGTTGTATTTCTAATTAGTAACGATCCTCGAGATTGTTTATAATTTTGTATTGCTGTCTGTCTGTCCATCTGTCTGTTCGTCTGTCCGTGTGCACGTAAACTCATAACTGAATAATGTTGTACAGAAAAGTCCGATCGCTTTGAAACAACTGTTCTTAAGGATATAAAGAAACGTCGCTATTGTTTTTCAGCTACGTAGACTAAGGGGGCAAAAAATTACAGTCCAAAAAATTCTCAAACCTCCAAAAAAGGGCTTCTTTTATAATTCTTGTTACAAAGAACATGTGAATGCCCGGTTTTCTGTGTTAGTAAATGTCCCTTAAGCCCCAGGTAACTATGCAGATGAATAAAAAGCAATTGTGCATGCGCAACCCAAAAAACCTATAAAATAAAAATATTTCAAAAACGAACATAGACAATTAACATGGGTAAAGGGTTTTTTGCAGATCGTTGCTCCCCATGATAATTTAGGTCTTAGTGGGTTTATAATGACACCAATCGAAAAAAGATTTTTTTTGTTTATCTAATGGTATATGAATTAGTTCATTTTCAGTTGTATTTCTAATTATTAACGATCCTTGAGATTGTTTATAATTATGTATTGCTGTCTGTCTTTCCATCTGTCTGTTCGTCTGTCCGTGTGCACGTAAACTCATAACTGAATAACGTTGTATAGAAAAGTCCGATCGCTTTGACACAACTGTTCTTAAGGATATAAGAAAGGTCGCTATTGTTTTTCAGCTACGTAGACTAACGGGGCAAAAAATTACAGTCCAAAAAATTCTCAAACATCCAAAAAAGGGCTTCTTTTATAATTGTTGTTACAAAGAACATGTGAATTCCCGGTTTTCTGTGTTAGTAAATGTCCCTTAAACTCCAGGTAACTATGCAGATGAATAAAAAACAATTGCGCATGCGCAACCCAACTTTTGTATTTGCGTAATCCCAATTTCCTTTATTTGTTAAGATATTTAATTGAAATTTAATATGTAGTCACCTCAAGTAAAACTAACGCCGAATCAAAAAAATTGTTTTGCGCATGCGCAATCTTGCTTTTTTTGTTAAAATTTTTAAGCGAAATTTTGTATCTAGGCACCTCGAGTAAAAGTAGAACTAACTCCGTTTCAAACAATTTGTTTTACAAGCTATTCCGATGTGGTGGGGCAGAATCAACCCCTTAAGGCGCGTTGTAAAAATGATGGATGCGTGCAGATCTCGAGGATGGTTCGGTATTCAGTTGTATCGGATTTTATTTTATGCCCGTGTATATAATAATTTAGAGGTACTATTAGCAGAGCAGTGCAGCAGCTGCGCTCGGAAAATCGTACCTTCCAGCGTGTCTACCGAGACCTTAGCAACATCACGCGGTCGGTAGACCATTTTTTTTTGTTTCTTATGACATCAACTTTTTCTAACAAAAATTTCATCTTTGTAGAAATAAGTTCAACCGAATAATTTTTTATGCATCTTGCGTGGGTTGGGTGGTAGACTTGTGATAGCAATGCTTCCAGCTCGGAGACTATTAGGTACCATACTTCATTTTTAGGTAGGTATACTTAATTACTGTACAAACTTTCATTCTTGTAGAAATGAGGCATGTACATATTATTTATTATCATGTTCAGAACATTGTTGCAAATTTCGGCAACACCGCCGACGCGGTAGACTACCGTTTTGTTTACTTGTACAGTGTGAGCAACAATGATTGAAGCGTGCGTCATCACCGCTTGTTCCTATTAATATCAAAACTACCTTCTTTGTATGTAGTTGTATACGAAAATGACGTTCTGCGCTGTCACAGTGACGTGCGTCTATTCGTATTTCGTATCTTGTATCAAATCAGCATATGCTATGAGCGGCACATTGCCAATTTAGCTGAAGCGGCACGCTTCAATCTTTGTTGCTCACTCTGTACTATCAAAACAATAAAATGGCAGAATATCAGCTTTGTAGAAATGAGTGCACAAAAAATGTCGCTGCCTTCTGGACTACGGTGGTTTTTATATATGGACAGTGCTATCGGACAGCAACTTGCCAGAGATTGATGGAGCATGATTGACAAACATCGGGTGCAGGCAGCATATTTGTTGCGAAAAATCATTGTCACACAAATTCCTTCCATACATGTAGTATCTACAACACAATGCAGTGGGTTTCAATAACCTAAATCGAGGACTGCGTAACTTGTGACAAACTGTCATTTTCTGGTCAGTCGCAAAAGTGTACATACCTTTGCCTATAGTAATCTAAGGTCTAGTAAATCTAGATTTTTGTCTTTATTTGTTATCAAGTGGCCTGACGCAGAGGTGCGACGATTTTATATTGCAATTGCATGCTTATTATTCACAAACCGTTTAAGAGAGAGATATGTCGTTGCGGAGTTTTTTTGTGGGCCATTTGGCTACCATTTGCTTGATTCCCTTTGTGCTTCTACTAAAGATAAGGCGACCATACACTATATCAGCATCGTAAACTTGTCATCTAGTCGCACGCAGTTCTTACCTTGTGCACACCTTCTTGCTTATAAAGCGGCACATTCATAATTTACCATTGACGGACCTAAATAATTTACCCGTTAAAGTACCCTCAAAATGAACCTACGCCTAAAGTACTTTATTCACGATATAAATAATAAATTATAAAGATTAATTAAAAAAGCGGCGTCGAACACACATAGCAATTCTGATATCCTGCGGTTATCGCATTGGCATGCGCTATTAATTCTTCGGCACAATAAAGTTAACCCGTTTGAACGTTTCATGAACAAAACTTAGTGCATAAATAACGATTTAGATACATATATTATGGCCAAAATTTAAGTTTTAACGTTGAGTGAAAAATCTGAAAGTTATCTTGGACAGACACACAGGCAGCCAAACAAACAGAAAATATAATGTCATAATTAAACTTTTTATTATTTAATTAAAGATTTTCGCTTGTTAATTTATACAACCAGACTCCACTCTTCTTTTAACCATTGGTATTATATAATAGAAATATATGTGGGACTGAGAAGTAGGGATTAATCATTATATTTGAATTTCAGTGCCCATCATCCCAGAATTCATCTACGACATCAATCACCCCGACGCACCCTTGGATATGGTACTTAAAAGTAAAACAACTCCTCCACCTGTAACCACAACTGTAGCATATCCTCCGTGCGAACCACGTCCAGACATAAGAACACCCTCCCAGTACGAAGAAACGAACACAACTCCAACGGAGTTCACAAGTTAGTCAATGATACTTCATACAGCTCAGGAAAAATCTGACGCATTCAATTGCAGGCAATTTTACCACGTTAGATCCCGAAGTGCAAAGACATGAAGATCTGGTTGGAGAAACTGTTGCCGTGGGGATAATGTTTGCCTCGAAGGCATTTGTGCAGTTATTGGCTAACCCATTTGTTGGCCCTTTAACTCACAAGTAAGAATCAACAGCTGATGCATTTTCATAGCACACAAATAATTTTCGTAATTTCAGAATAGGCTACACCATTCCCATGTTTGCAGGATTCATCATCATGTTCCTTTCAACGCTAAGTAAGTAATGTTTTTTAAAATAACTTTTGAAGACGTGTAATTAAGGCTCGTCGTTTTACGTGATTGGTCACAGGTGGTTATGCTAAAATTGAGCTAATTCTGCTTTATCTTTATTCACCCATTACCAATTCCAAATAAATACAATTTGTTGCCTTCTATAGGTACCCACAAATAATAAAGGCAGAGGCACTATGAAGAATCATTCTTAAATAATTATGGAAATATATTTGCTATAAAAGCGTGGAGATTCGAGGATCCACTATCAAGCATAACTAAAAGATATTTGATGTAAATGTAAATTGAGTAGGTTAAGATAAAAATCTCAAAAAAGGAATTTTAATTGGTCATTGCAGAGCAATCTGTCGCTAATTTGAAGTTGAAAATGATGAACGTATCTCGATTAAGCTCCGGCAGCTTCCTGAACTGGTGATTCAATTAGAGCCACTTACACGCGTCGCAGTACAAAGCAACTTTAGATGTTCTCGCTCTCGAAACTAACTCGTTTATTGACGGCGTATGTGATTCTAATTGATTTACTTTTCCAATTTCGTTAATTCGCTCTTTCAGACTGTAATAAGCAAACATTCAACTTCGTTGTCACGATTTATTTGATACAAACAAACGGAAATCCACCTAATTAGAGTCTAGAGAATTGATTGCAATAAATCTGTACCTTTCTTCTGGTGCTCTTTAGTGTAGCATTTTTTCAAATGGGAGAAGCTATCCGTAAGAAACGTGCAAATTTAAAATTTCCAAAATTCCTGTCGCCAAACATTTCGAAGTTTACAGTTTGGAATTTGGAATAGTACCAAAAATTAGGTTGCAAAATATTTCACTTCGCAGCTAAAATAGATGGAAGATAGAACTAATAACTTTACCCAGGTTTTCAAACATGCCATTTTAAATAACGTTAAAATATTTCGAACATTTCTTTCTAATTTCTAATTTTAATTTACCGTTCATTTCCTGTAATACCTTGGGCTCCGGAAGATGGAGTGCATCATTCTGCCGTCATTATGATGGCGCTGTATTGTTTTCAGATATTTTCGTATCCACACACCCAATATTCAAGCTATACAAAAGCAAAGCCTTTCTGCTTGAATTTTTCCCACGTCAATTGATTGCATAGAGTATCTTCCACTGAAGAAATCTGCTGATTTTGGGCAAATCGTCATTGTCTCTAACTGCCACAAAAATGGGCGAACGGGCATTGGGCCGTCAGACGTTACGACGCAGACAATAGGACGCCGCACATTGGGCCGCAAGACAATAGACCGCAAAGGCAATAGGTCGCAGACATTAAGAAGCGGACATTAGGACGCCGACATTAGGACACAGATCCTAGGCTAGGACTTGACGTTAGAGCGCATACACAGATGAAATAAGTAAAATAACATTCGTTTATTTTGATTATACCTTTTATTGTTCTACCTGCGACGTAATCTCTGCTTTGTAAGGATCTACATGATGCTTGCTTTCTAATGTCCGCGTCCCAATGCCCGCGTCTCAATGTCCGCGTCCCAATGCCCACGTCCTAATGTCCGGGTCCTAACTCCTAATGTCCGCGTCCTAATGTCTGCGTCCTAATATCTGCGTCCTAATATCTGCGCCTTAATGTCCGGTCCCAATGCTCGCGTCCTAATGTCCCCGTCCCAATGCCCGCGTCCTAATGTCCGCCTCCTAATGTCTGCGCCCTAATATCCGCGTCCCATTGCCCGCGCCCCGATGTCTGCGTCCTAATGTCTTGCGGCCCAATGCCCAATTTCGATATCAAGTTGAAACCGGCAAATCTCAACGTCAACGCATATTACTGATCCCATGCCGTGCCGTTCTCAACGACCTACAAATCGTACATCTGGGTATTGTAAAAATTTTTGAAATGTCACTGGGAATATCCCCACGAACCTTGGGAACGGATTTATGTCGATACGCTGGAAAAATGTTCATCATCATTTTCTACGCCTACAGCAAGTGGTTGAAAGTCAAAATTATGAATACTCCTATGGCATCTGCGACAATCACAATTCTTGATAGTGGCGTTACTATACCGGTGTTACCTTTTTTTTCATTGGCAGTTCTTAAAAGCAACTTTTTTCATAAAAGTGGAATGTTTTGTATTTCTAGTTTTAGAAATGTTACTTTTTAAAGTATTCTTTTTTGTATCTATTAGGGCCCGACTGGATTTTAGAACACGGAACCGTGGCTGCACTGTTACGCCACTGATTTTTGATGAACTGTTTGCAACCTATGGGGTTCCCCGTATCGTCGTCTCAGTTAATGGCACTCATTTCGCTCCCACTGAGTTCAGAGAATGTTTACAATATCCGTACCATGTTCAATTGTTCACTGCTCCTTACCACCCTTTAATCAACGGTTAAGCCGAGCTAAATATCAAAACCGTCACGGCCTTACTACTATTTACATCTTCAATGGCAGTAAAAGTTTATACAGGGTGACAATTTGAAAACTTACCACCCCCCATATCTTAGTAAATAAACGAGATATTTAAAAAAATCAAAATCCGTTTCGGTAATTCGGAGGGGAATCACAATGACATAGTTGGCGACGCACCCCCTCCAACCCCCTGCGCCCCAGCCACCCCAACTTTTAAATCTTAAATAGTGACCCCCTATGTGTGATACGTCGTTGGAAAGCTCTGAAAAAATGCTTTCCAACCATACCAAATAGCATTACATTTAGGTTAGTAATTATCGTGCAAATCAAAAAACAAACTAATATGATACATTTGAAATCTGTCGTATTTAAAACGCAACCGGCGAACATAGACGAACTAAGACAGAGAATAATTCAAGAATGTCGAAATATTGCAAAACCAACATTGGAAAGGTTCGACAAGAGTTTGAGAATACATTATAACTGGCGATCAAAAATGAGTTGCTGTCGAGTCGGCTTTGGAAGTTCAAGTTAAATACGATTTTCCACGTTTATTTTTCGATTTTCACGATAATTACTAAACTAAATGTAATGCTATTTGGTATGGTTGGAAAGCATTTTTTCAGAGCTTTCCAACGACGTATCACACATGGGGGGTCACTATTTAAGATTTAAAAGTTGGGGTTGTGAGGGGGTGCGTCGCCAACTATGTCATTGTGATTCCCCCTCCGAATTACCGAAACGGATTTTGATTTTTTTAAATATCTCGTTTATTTACTAAGATATGGGGGGTGGTAAGTTTTCAAATTGTCACCCTGTATAAAATGAAAACAAAATTAAGATCCCGCCCTTTCGCTCAATATTTATAAAACCTCCCTGAATTTGAGGTCTTAAGCATGACGTATAATTTAGAGGCATGATATATATACTACCTATTACATAAACACAATTCTATTACCTATACCTGTGCGTAATGAAAACAAGTACAAATTGTGCACAACCCTTGTGCCGGTAAAGCGCATTTTTTTAAACACCCCTACGAAATTTCTTCCATAAATAACAAAGTTGGCACTGCACGTCCTACACAAAACCAAATTTGAAAAATGGCGCTACATTTGCTTTTAATCAAAGTGGCTATGTATCAAATTTTATTGAAATGCCCAATGGTTATATTTCTTCCAAACGTCCCATCCCCCGATATAAGGAATTATAACCGATCACGGCAAGGGATCGAGTAGGAACACTATGGTTAGGATAAATTAATTCCTTTCGTTGAGAACTTTCATTAGAGTACCATGAAGGATACAACTAGTTCCACTCCCCCCCCCCTTCCCCCTCCACACCGTACTTTGGTAAGAAGACAGAAAGAAGGGCAGTAGTTTGTAGAAAATTGTTCCTTTCGTTGAGACCTTTAATTAGAATACAATGAGAGATAAAATTAATTTTTAACCCCCCCCCCCCCTCAGGCTGCGTCGCTCACTGATCTCGAAAAGAGTCCCACGGGAAAGTTATAGTTTGTACAAACCAATTCATTTCGATCCCCCTAGAAGTAGTTCAAAACGGTAAAAGTGGGTACGGACGGACGGACCGAATTTTTTGCAGTAGGTAGCCTATACCTTGAAGGTGTGCCAGACGGTCATCAAATTTTGCTGTCTAAAGCCCCCCCCCCCCAAGTTAAAATTTGGGAAATGGGGGGGGGGGGTTACACATGTTCTACCCTTCACGGTATTCTAATGAAAGGTCTCATCGAAATAAATTGGTTTGTACAAACTATAACCTTCCCGTGCGACTCTTTTTCGCGAGCTGTGAGCAACGGGGCCTGAGGGGGGTGGGGAGTTAAAAATTAAGTTTATCTCTCATTGTATTCTAATTAAAGGTCTCGACGAAAGGAACCGTTTTGTACCAAATACTGCCCTTCTTTCTGTCCTCTGACAGTTGGTGAGGGGGGTGGAGAGTGGATCTAGTTTTATCCTTCATGGTACTCTAATGAAAGGTCTCAACGAAAGGAATTAATTTCTACCAACCATAGCCCTCCTCCTCGACCTCTTATCGTGATCGGAATCGGGTATATTCCCTTACCTCAAGAACGGATTGTCGGAAGAGGGTACTCACAAAGGGCGATTGAGACATCTGCAAGAAATATATCCATTGGTGATGTCAAAACAAAAGCTATTTCGGTTTAAAAAAAAAGCCCTTTATCTGCACAAGAGTTGTGCACAATTTATACTTGTTCTGCTCACCTGCAATACGCCCTATTACAACCTTATGACGTAATATACTATTTCCCATTATCGCCATTGAAAATCAGAAAAATATATGCAGAGCTGCGTGTACGTTGTATGTAGGAACGAATTAATCATTTAATTTACAGTTTTTGCCTTTGGACGAACCTACAGTGTATTATTTTTGGCAAGAGCGTTGCAAGGTATTGGATCTTCGTGCTCTACAGTATCCGGAATGGGAATGTTAGCCGAACGATATCCTGATGATAAAGAGCGCGGAAACGCAATGGGCGTAGCACTTGGTGGATTGGCATTGGGCGTGCTAATCGGACCACCATTTGGTGGTTTTATGTACGAATTTGTAGGCAAAACGGCTCCATTTTTGGTTCTCTCAATCCTTGCTCTTGGAGATGGACGTAATGCTTTTTTCTATGTTATTAAGTAATCTTTATCACACATTCATTGCAGTTTTACAGTTACTTATGCTACAACCTACTGTTGTACGCCAAGAAACAGACGCGCCATCGCTAAAATCGTTGGTATCGGATCCCTATATAATTATCGCAGCAGGTATTTAATTGTTGTTAGTAAGTAATTGCGTGTATACTAAATTTCGTTTGTATTTATAGGCGCAATTACTTTCGCCAATACGGGTATTGCAATGTTGGAGCCATCATTACCTATATGGATGATGGACACAATGTCAGCCGGTAGATGGAAACAAGGCGTTACGTTTTTACCGGCTAGTATATCCTATTTAATTGGTACCAATCTTTTCGGACCATTGGGCCACAGAATGGGCCGGTGGCTTGCAGCTTTAATAGGATTAGTTACAATCGGCATTTGTCTTATGTGTGTAAGTAGAAATGTTTTCTACCTGCTAGTAGTGATTCTCAGAATGGGAACTAGCTTTCTCCTATAATCAGCTCTGAAATTAATCTGTTTATCGTACTTATAGTATAGGTGCACAATAGCACACTAGGTAAACATTGATCAGCTAGATTGAATTGGTTATTGATTGTACAATGTACTTAAACTTTCAGAGCAAGTAGTAGACTTAAAGGTAAGCCTAAATGTGATCCAAGAAGTAACAAGTTAAAAAGTAATCGTAAACGATTTACATAAAGCGCATTTCCACTTGCATTCATTTCCCATTTGTAAGATGCTACTTCTGTTAAAATTGTAAAAATCCGGCCACAAATATGAAAGATAGCGTTGCACATGGGCAATCCATTTTTGACGTGCTACTTCAATTTCAGTTTATGAGAAGAATTTCATTTCAATGCTTTTCTAAATAAGAAAGTTGGAACTGCGCATGCGCAAACCTAAATTTTAAAACTAATGTTAGATTTTCCTTTGTTCCAAGCGCCTAAGTATCAAATTTCATTTAAATGGTTCCATAGATAAAAAAGTTGGCACTGCGCATGCGCAAAACCAAATTTTGAAATTGGCGTTTGATTTTCCTTTATTCCAAGTGCCTATGTATCAAATTTCATTCAAATACCTTTATAAGTAAAAAAGTTTGCAATTCGGTTTATAAATGGTCGAGATGCGAAAAGGGCACTGTGAATTTTGAATCGATTCGATTCAACTTTTGGCATTGCGTATTATATGGTTAAAGCTATGCCCATATTGAATTTCATGCAATTCAGTTCATAACTAACGGAGATGTAAAAGCGATCGAACATTTCTAAACAAAGTTATCGTTCACACGGACAGATAGATGGGCAGACAGACAAAGGAACAGACGGAGAGACCAACCGGCAGGCGACAGATAGCAATGCAAAATTATAAACGATCTCGAGGATCGTTAATAAACGGCAAAAGTGTAAAATTATGGAACATGTAAAAAACGGTTTTTTGTTTTTTTTACAATAACTTTTTTTGTAAGCGGTACAGAAAAAATTCCTTCCTTGGTACAAGACTCGACACCATAACGAACCAAATAGCGAAAAAAGTAGAACAATAGCTCTTAAGATAAAAAACTAGTAGCGTCGCAAAGTTAGCGGACGGACGGACAAAGTGGCCACAATAGCGCATTTTTTTTTTTTGTGGAAATGCGCTAAAAACGGTAGCTTTTGTAAAGCGCAATCCAATCGATTAGTAGAAAGATATAGGCGCTGCTTCCCTCGTGGTAATCAATAAGGGTAAACTTAAATTTGATTCTTGCTCTTCTATTTTCCAGATACCGCTAGCGACAAATATAAACCACCTAATAGTACCAAATGCCGGTTTAGGCTTTGCAATTGGAATGGTAGATAGCTCAATGATGCCAGAACTTGGATTTTTGGTTGATATTCGACATTCGGCCGTGTATGGAAGCGTTTACGCAATCGGAGACGTCGCGTTTTGTCTTGGTTTTGCCATTGGTACATTTTTTACATATTTTCGGCTAAAAATCTATCTAAACCACCATGGTAAATTATTAGTACGTAATCATCTTTTCGTTTAGGTCCAGCTTTAAGTGGCACGTTAGTAAAAACCATTGGGTTTGAATGGATGCTGTTTGGTATTGCCATTATTACGTTCATGTATGCTCCACTTCTCATTAGTTTAAGGAATCCTCCGACAAAAGAGGAGAAAAAGGTAGGTGGTTTAAACAAAATGTTATGCTAAACTCACCCTAAAAACAATGTTTTAAATTCATTGTTCATTCTTCTTCAAACATGTAAACACCATAATATGACATTGATAAGAGTAACCATTAAGAGGATATTTCAAGACTAACCAGAGCTCGAACCAGAGGCAATTTTTATTATTTAACTACTCAATTTTTTCAAATGATAAGTGATGATTACCATTAACTGATAAGTTATATGTTTGTTACAGTCCTTAATATTGGGAGAAAAATCATCAGTTCGATATGTAACATACCAAAATGAAGAAGACGACGAATAAGTAAATTTTGTAAGATAAACTGTGGATACCTATATAAGAAATGGACATAACATAGTTTTTAAATTATTTGCAACATTGTTGATTAGTAGTCTAAGTCATTGTGATTACGTACCATATGTTGTAAAGTACACGCTCTGTACGCAAATATGTTGTTTACAGATGGGAATGCGACTAGTGAACAAATTTCCAAATTTATTAGGGATCTCCGTCTTGGATTGTTGTGAATGGCTGCACTCAACCCTTTCTCCTCGAGAGAGATGGAGCAATAAGGTGTCCCTTGAAGTTTTGATTAAAATTGAAAGAAGCGAATGAAAACTTATGCATTCCCATCCCCGACAGTTTAACCAATGATTGCCACATGTAATGGTTTCTATACTACTCTCATTATACCTATAACGTTAATTTATGTGAATAATATCATAAGATGTGCTTAATCATTATGTATACAAACACATATACTTATATTATTATTCATCGGAAAAATGAAACTTTTTAAGAGAATTGCTGAGCCAATCAAAAAACATCATCATGGGCAAGCCTAGTGAGTTTGGGGAAGAACCCCGGAAAGAAGATTAGGGGACCTCATCAATGTTTAAATGCTTCAATTTATTTGTTAATTGTTTCCAATATCTATGGCTGCTCGGTCTTTGTATGCTACTACATATTATGAGAATTTATGTATTCAAACCACTATATATTTCTCCTTCAGAAGAGCGCATGCTCCTAGGAAGATTATTGTGAAGAGACAATAATCATCATTGTAATCAGTCCCGACGAATTTTTATTTAAAAAGCTGGTAAGGGTCCGAACAACAACGGCAATCGTGCGAATGGCGCGTTTGCTTAAAAGTATTACTAAACTGGGCCGTATATGTTATGATAAGGCACCTGGTTTAGCGGTAGATTAAATGTTTTTAATATAGAGATCTATATAACACCTAAATGTATAAAAGATGTGCTATTATTGTTATTAAATGTTTGATGTTAAATATGTCTATTAGTTGTGCAATAAACGTAACCGATTAGTTAACTATACATCGCCATTAAATTATTATAAAATGTTTCAAAACCCACTCGTGGGTGTTGGCGCGTAACACAACCGTAAATGATGAGTAACGGGCAAATATAGACCATAGCAGCTATCAATTAGCGAAAACCGGAAGTCTCTATGTCGCACTAGGTGGACCAGGGGCCGATCTTGATAGAACAGACAGACGACGGAAAATCGAACACATAAGCGTTACTTCAATTTTGTTGTGTTAATAAGTAGGTAACCATATTCTATAGGTAATCAAACAGGACAGAAACGAAATCTGTTTACTCATGTCACATGTGGGACCCCCCATTTTGTTCTTCACCCTTGTTTTCCTTTTTCCTAGACCTTTAATTTGATACAAAATGTCAAAAGCTGCTTCAAACGGTTTCCGAGATATTCCATGTTTTAATTACTTCTTGTAGCAAATTAATAAAAAAATTAATTCGCTAGATGTAATTCTTTTGTTTTTATTATGACAATGTTTAAACGTCAAATTTGCAGGAATAACGGTATGTTACAAACAAAAATACAAAAAGGAAGCCTGCGGTAGACTCTGACGGACAAGAAATAACAGCTGTACTGGCGTATTTTGCTGCAAATCCAACTGCATCGCTTAATGATATCCAAAGAGAAATTGACATATCAGACACGAGTGCACAAAGAATTCTCTGTACTGGCGTATTTTACAGTTATTTCTTGTTCGTCAGAGTCTACCACAGGCTTCCTTTTTTTGTATTTTTGTTTGAAACGTGCCGTTATTCCTGAAATTTTGTATTAATTTGCGAATTATAGCCTCTGTGGGTTGCGCCTTGTCGGAAAAAAGACGGCAAGTCCTGGCCGCTATTCGATTAAAATTCAAAAAATCTTCATTAGTATAACCCAAACGAGCCATTATTGACGAGAAGTATAAGTTCAAGCAGCAAAAATTTGACGTTTAAACATTATCATAATAAAAACAAAAGAATAACATCAAGCGACTTAATTTTTTTATCAAGTTTCCACAAGAAGTAGCTAAAACATGGAATATCTCGGAAACCGTTTGAAGGAGCTTTTGACATTTTGTATCAAATTAAAAGTCTGAGAAAAAGGAAAACAAGGGTGAAGAACAAAATGGGGGGTGTCATTTGAAAAAATGGAGTTATGGATATTTAAAAGTTTAACAGTTGAGAGCTTTGAAAAAGTGACGTAGTCTCACTTTCTTAAACTGTTACGCATACCATAAGAAAATTCGATCTTTCTTTAATAAATCAGTGAAAACTGTGTTGCAATATCTCTCACCGTTTTCGAATAATAAATTTTTAAAATTACCCCTGCAAATTCAATTTTTGACATCAAAACTTGAATATCGGCGAATCCCTTGGAGCAAAGGGTCAACTATGGGGGTATCGTTGTACTCCAAATTCGACGTAGAATCCGAAAATGTAGAAAAACTAGGGGGGCCCTATTTAAAATAACAAAGTTGATGGCTACTTCCGGTATTTCCGGAAGTGGCGCCATCTTGAAAATATTTTAGTTCAATTCATCATGTGCCAAAACCCTTAAAGAACTTATCAGTTTATCTTCATTTTCAAAGGTTTTCCATATCTTTGATCTTTCTAACTGACGCTCGTCAAGAATGACCCTGTATAATAGGCACTTTATTTCGGTGATCCAGACGCGTTTGGATTGTCAAATCATGTTCTTTCGATGTGTGATCTTATGATCATGAATGCAAAAATCGTGAACAAATAAAATAAATAAAAGTTTTATGATTTGTTTACTGATCACAATTAGGCAACTCGTATCAAAATTTGGTTCCGATAAGTAGATTAAGAAAAACGTTATTGACCTAGCGACGTTCGAGAGCGCTGGTCAAACACCGAATGCGTTTCACCGGGATCGCTTTTATTCAAAATTTATCGGTTTCTTTCAATTTACGTACCTAAATTAATTTAATTATTTATTATTATTATTTTTTAATTATTGTATAAACACAGCTTACTTACGCAATGGGTCCAAAGCATTGAAATAAATCGTCCGTTTATTCATAGAACAACAAACTTAAGAAATAGAATGGAAGCTGTAATATAATGTCATATGTGTTAAAATGTAAAAATGACGCGCCATCTCGTATATGTTCCCAGCAACTTTTGCGTGAATGGTGCCAAATTTAAATAAACCTCTCGCCAGGAAAGATTGCCGGTCATAGAACATGATCCCGGTCTACAATCTATGTTTTTCTGAAGATGTGAGCGACTTCCGGGATAGTATCGTGTCAATGTTGTACAAAAAGACTTTTCGATCAACATTGGCACGATCCTATTCCGGAAGTCGCTCGCATCTTAAGAAAAACAGATTGTAAATCGACACAAAGTGCTGTGACCGGCAATCTTTCCTGGCGAGAGTTATATTAAAATCAATTTATGTAAGCTACGTCCGAATTTCTACGGATCTGTAACAATAAGATTGGATTTGACTAGCACTACTAGCAGCTAGCTGAAACCTAAAACGAAAATGAATCCAGGCAGTAAAGTCCAATTTTGTTTGTTAGAGGTTCAGATAAATTCAGTTTAATGCGGACGCACCTGACCTAAAAACAAAATATGTAGCAAATTATTAATTAGTGTTACCTGCTAAATATAATATGGAAACTTGCCAAACGCTTTAAGGTTGATTCTCACTGTACATTACGTTTCCATACCATATCCTTTCCATAACCATTCCGTAAATTATTATACTTATGAAATTGACCTTTAAGTGATATGTGCAGACATTCAGCCGCGCGTTAATACACATTCGCCTTTCCGTTCACATATTGGCTTGACTCCGCTCCGTTGTATTCAAACCAAACGTATTTTTGACGGATAGGCTGCGATGTTACGGAAAAACGGTATGGCTAGTATGAATAGCGCTCCGCAGTTCCGCACCAAATTGGTTCCAAAACCGCCTTTTGTGTTTTCTTTGCTGTTCGTCGTCCAAAATAATAGTAGCCATAGTCAAATTTTCTTCCCACTATCTACCTAGTTCACTATGTACTAACCTGCACTGTACCTACTTGCAAAAATGCAATCGAATTGTATGGAATGGTTATGGAAACGGAACGTACAGTGAGAATATAACCGAATTGTATGTAACGGAAATGGTACGGAAATGTAATGTATAATGAGAACTTCTTCGTGTCCTGGTTCTAAAGCGTAGTCAGAAAAATGACGTTCACAAACCGGAAACTTTCTGTAAATTTCTTCCACAGTCACTAATTTATATTCTTAAACCAATCCTTAAAAACTTCGGTCTCCGTTTTTGGGAAACGTCTTCACAATTGGTCACACAACAGTTACGTTTCCGATTTGTACCTATATGCATAATTGTAATACTAATAATGAATCGTAATTATACTTTTTGCGCGATCGGTCATTTCTGACTATTTACCATGTGTGTTTCCATGACAGTACGTAGCATTTACCAGTTGCTATGATTACGACGACGCCAAAATTACTTACCGATCTAAAAACAGAACAGCAATAGTATATTAAGTATGGAGAACGGTAAGGGATTTTTACCGTTCGAAGACAATTGTTTGGAGGAGGAGCGAAGCGACGACTCCAATTATTGTCTGAGAACGGTAACCCTTAACGTTCGACGTGCTTATAACATTTTTTGCGCGATCGAAATTAAAATTATGCAACCAATATAAATATGCACTAAGAAATTAACGAGCAGAATGAATCGAAATGATCGAAGTGGTATGGTGTAATCACTAGGTAACCAGTTTACTTGTCAAAATTGAAATGAATAATTTCATAAAAATGTGCATGTGTCTGATGTAGTTTACTAGCTTTGCACTTCCTTTATGACTTTATGAGCGTCTTGCTATAGGAAACAACAGCACAAATTGTACGTTTAATGTACCTAACAATAATTAAAGATTAAATGTAATGTAAGACTGTTGATTTTTAAAAAGGCGTCGGTAAGTATTTTTGCTGTTCTGTTTTTAGATCGGTAAGTAATTTTGGCGTCGTCGTAATCATAGCAACTGGTAAATTATACGTACTGTCATGGAAACACCCATGGTAAATAGTCAGAAATGACCGATCGCGCAAAAAAATGCTTACCGACGCCTTTTTAAAAATCAACAGTCTTACATTACATTTAATCTTTAATTATTGTTAGGTACATTAAACGTACAATTTGTGCTGTTGTTTCCTATAGAAAGACGCTCATAAAGTCATAAAGGAAGTGCAAAGCTAGCAACCTACATCAGACACATGCACAATTTTATGAAATTATTAATTTCAATTTTGACATATAAACTGGTTACCTAGTGATGTACACCATACCACTTCGATCATTTCGATTTATTCTGCTCGTTAATTTCTTAGTGCATATTTATATTGGTTACATAATTTTAATTTCGATCGCGCAAAAAATTTTATAAGCACGTCGAACGTAAGGGTTACCGTTCTCAGACAATAATTGGAGTCGTCGCTTCGCTCCTCCTCCAAACAATTGTCTTCGAACGGTAAAAATCCCTTACCGTTCTCCATACTTAATATACTATAAAGCACAATAAGCCGCCAATCAAAATTCAAAATTCAACGCACTCAAGTCACTAGATCTATATTTATAGTGACTAACACGCACTAAAGTCCCTAGATTAGGTACTAAAGTAACGCGATTCATTAGGCCAATGTATTCAGAGACTTGTTATAGCAAGTCTCTGAATGTATTAGACAAAAACAAACTGCTAATTGAGCCAAAATGGCCGCTTGACACCTAGTGTCAGGTTTGACATTTGTTGTTTTGTTTTGTATTATAATAATATAGTTGTGTGTACATTTAGGAGAGTACTGATGTAACCATTAATTCATTAGAGAAGCGCATCTAGGCACTTTTGCAAGAAAACAGAAACCGAAAAAGGAAATTACTCAGAAGCGAAGACATTTTTCAGGAATCTTTTAATGAAGATCAATTAAAATATTAGAATTGGGTACACACAAGGGTTTTATGTGGAGTGGTGAAGCGATTGAAAAAGCGACGCAACTATATTTTTCTTGTGATGTTGAAGGCTATTAAACGATCCGCTCACAAAACTTGCCATATCCAAGTATCCGCACAATCTAAGAGCGACTACAAAATACAAACTTTTCAACTGTTGTTCAATTTCAAATTTCGCGGTTCCCAAACTGAGCCAAAATGGCTGCTATTCGCATTACTTTAGTAATCTAGGGACTTTAAGCACGCACGCTAACTATGCGCCATCTATTGAATGTTCTCCAAACGTATTGTATTTGTACTCGATTGCTCCCGTCACCCGTGGCCGTTTAGGTTTCACTTCTTAAGTTTGTTTGTTCTTTACACTCGTAGGTTCTGGGGCGTTTATTTACAAATGAATCTGAGGCATCTAAAGTCATTGCTCTGCTTTTTTGTGATTATGTAACTGAATGCAGACAAAATCGTGCCGTGCCGATTCCCCTTTAATCATATATATAAGTATATATGCCTTTAATGCGCCGCGCATGTGTCACAACGGCTCATACAAAAGTCGGCCACTGTAGTTCACAAAGTTATATATACAGCTCTGTGCTGTAGTTGGAGTAATTTTTCCACGCGCAAGTCCTATCTACTTCTTTTCTATTAAATTTATTAGGAGAAATTGAATATATGTGATAGCAGCACCAGATTTAAATATTAAATCTGTGACAGCAGTAACACCAGTATTACCAACCTAGTGCAGTGTTGAAATGGAAATGTCTAAACTTTTAAAGCTAACTTCATTTACGTGTTGTTTTCTGTCCATGAGGCATTAAAATATATCGTTGGAAACCAAAAATTCAATAATGATGCGATGGTGATCCAATATTATACTGATAGGCAGTAGTAGTCATGGAAGAAACTGAAAATTCCGTGGAATTTGAGGGCACTGACATTGACAATAATATTGTACCACAAGAAGATTTTGAAGAGGATATCAGTTTGGAAAGTGAGGACATTACTGCTAGTGGAGGTGAAGATTTTAATAGTCAAAGAGGCAGAGGTCGAGCAAATTTTAGGTAATGTTTTTAGATTTCAATTCTGATTTATTTTCCAATTTTCAATGTTGCCCGTTTCATCATTACACATTTGGTTGTTGCGTTAACGATGTTGTGCAGTAATTGTGATATCTGCTTGAACTCCGCTTTTGTTCTTGCACTAAATATAAGGAAGCATTTTATCAGCTGATTATTGTCAAACTGTTACCACAATTTGTTACGGGAAATGTGAAATCTATGCACAACAGGATATAAGGTTTCTGATGTAGAGGTGGTATAAGCATACGAAGAATTGAAACTATTTGTTGAAGTAACCTAAAAACTTAACGAATTACGTTTGAGAGTGACGAGTACAATGGTCCGTCGCAGTATTGCCATGGAAACGATTGTAACCATAGCACTTTTCATCAATGTTGTTTACTGTTGTTTTTGTTTTGTAAATTTCATGTAGATTGTTGAGAAAGCTGCTTCACTTTGACATTGTTGGAATAATTTAAGGTTTGTATCTTGCAAATTGTGGTTTTCTGTAAGGTTTGAGATTTTGAGAAACAACTTCTCCTTAAACAGTAGACAAAATGAATCTATCTTATGGTAATTTAGGGGCAGAGGACAACCACGAAATTGGCCAGGTCCGCCACCTGGTCCACGAGGAGAAGGACCACCACCTAGATTTCGCGGACGAGGATTCGGTCCAGGGGGACCACCACCATTTCGAGGAGGTAGAGGAGGACCGCCGCTTCCAATGTTCGGAAGAGGGGGACCTCCCCCACGCAATGGTCCACCTGGTGGATTTAACGGTCCACCGAACTTCAATGGACCCAATTGGGGTGGTCCTATGGGACCACCGGGAGGTGTTAATGGGCCGCCGAATATGATGGGGCCACCGGGAGGACCTCCTTTTGGACCTCCAGGGATGATGGGAGGACCACCAAATATGGGAAATGGACCACCACCAATGATGGGGGGCCAATTCGGACCGCCTGGGTCTATGCCTACTTCCCCAAATATGGTATGTAATTATACTAAGCATAGTGTAAATTGTAAAGAATAGAACAGTGAGACAAGCTCTAAAACCTTCATACCTCTCATTTTTGGAATTTTGCAAAAAGTAGAAAAATGCAGAAAATCGTCAATACGTAGAATACTGCGTTGAATATGTAGAAAATCCCTTTTCAAATTTTAACCTTTTCATTTTGATTTATCAGGGCCATGCAACGGGTCTATTTTAAAATTCGACGTGACTTTGCAAAATTAAGATTGTAAACCCACCAGGTTTACTCGAACCAAGTAACGGATCAAGTCTTTAAACTGAACAGTCTTAAAGTTGTTGATTTTTGTGATCAAATCAAGGGCAAATCTTCAACGAGAGTTGTGTAAATTATTTGTGATCGTAAATGACACAAGAACGATTAACAAATGTAGTTATAGCATACCTAGCCATAGAAAAAGATTTAGTAAACAATATACGTGGGTTCAACATTTGCTTTTGCGTACAATAGGGAATATGCATGTGGTTTAAATTTACTTGATTCTTTCTCCAGCAAATATTTATTGTCCTGACATTATACTTAAACCATTAGTTTCTTATTTAATTTGTTTTTAATTGCTAAAAATGTTAATTCAAAAATGCAAAATAAGCGAACGAAATTCAAATTTGCGAAACGCTTCACTATTGGACGAATGAAAGTGACGTCAAATGCCACGCGATCGCATTTATTGTGTCAATATTCATAAGTACTTATAATAGTGCAGTCAAATTACAGTTTGGGCAGATTGAGCTGAGTGTTGTCATTTCACTCAACGAAATCAAGTGTCTTGTATGTGAAAAGATCCGCTGAATCCGAAAACCATAGTCCCCCTAGCCGAAAACTCCCGGAATATATTGTTATGTATAAACAAAAAACGAAGAAAAAATGGCAAGATGTCGTTTCTTTTCGCATTTGACTTCAATTATCTCGTTAACTATTACTCTAAGGGAAAAAATGAAGAGAAATGAATTGGTTTAGAACTGAATTTTATATAAGATACAGTGGGTATGATTATGAAACGTTCATTTTCAAATGTTATTGTTTTTTAGGGTTTTTTATGGAAAAATATAAAAAAGCAATCCCGAAGATGATCAATTGGTTATTACTAAGTAAAATTCATCCGATTTTTTTGAAATTCCGTATTTGGTCACTTCTTTTGATAACAAAATAATATGACAATCCCAATCACCGTAGATTTGATAGTTATTGCATAATTAAATAAACAAATTTACAAAACGATACTTGGTCTTTTAAACTGGGTGACTCCCAGAGCGTTCTACATTTGTTTACAGATGGTGGAATCCTAAGACAGCCATTTCCAAAAATTGTCCCGATGATTCTTGCAAATTGATGGACTGTGGAATTTTTTTTAGTTAACTAACAAATTGAAAAACTCCCGAAATATAACAAGGAAGGTAACTCTATAATAGGCCCTTGGCGTTCTGATTAATAAAAATCATACATTTTGGTAAAATAGAAGCATAAAAAGCTCACCCTTTAAAGAATCGTTCGATGCGACCCGATTTGCAAAATCATTTTTTGTTGTGTCGAAAACAAGTCCGAAGTCAAAAGCTGATTTCTCGTGAACTCGGATTTGGACGTATTTTTTTAATGTAGGTCTTTCCGAGAGCTTTCCATTCGCCTACTATAGATTTACATTTCTTTGGAAATTATTCCATTTGTTAACTAAGAAAATTCATCGGATTTTGAAACAAAATTGCATAGTTCGTCGATTTGCAAGAATCAACGACACAATTGTTGAAAAAGGTTGTTTTAGGGTTCACTAACTGTAAAAAAATTGAGAATGCTCTGGGAGTCGTCCTTTTGGAACTGCAAAATACACTATTCGGGAATATTTCTAATAGTGTTTTTGCACTTTTGTACATGAGAGACCTATAAAATCGTTTTTCAGGTTTTCCATGGTCTGAATAGCTATTACAACTGAAAATCTGTTTAAATAACTCAACACTAAAAGTAAACAAATACTGGTCGTGGCTTGTGACGTCATCGAAGGCCCGCTGAAAATGTGGCGGCGTTTAAACACATCGAATAAAGTCAACGTTTTAAATATTATTTTACAAGTTAAATTGAATTGTTCTAACAGTGTTTACTCTTTTTACTATGTTAGAACGATGTAAAAAAGCGATTAAAACAATAAAAACATTACATGCATATTCCCTATTATACTCCATACATTTTTTGTAAAATGTTTATTTAGTGTTAATGAAACATAAATATTATCTTTGTGTTTGTGTTAATGTATTGCTTTTTAAATTATGCATTGGTTAACTTGACCCCCTATTTAAACGCCCCGCGAACATTTATTTGGAAAAATGTTTTAAGCCATAGTTTTTTCTGGCAGCCATTTTTAAAATGGCAGTTTGGCGAAAAACAGGATTTGCAGAAAGTTTAATTGCCAAGTTATTTTTTAAGATATCAAAATAATTCAAAGTCCCATGTGTTCAGCATTAAATGATCTAAAACTCTCATTATTTTAATTTCCCTATCATGCAAGCAGCTGTTCCTGAGAATTAAGAAGTTTGGTCGATTTTTGGGACTGCAATAAACAGGTTATAATAGTAACTGAATTGTCATTTTGAATTTCATTATTTACATTATCTTTTAGTTTATCCAATCAAAACGAAACATATGAAATTCTTTACCATAACATTTATGTTTAATTAAATATAATGTTAATCAGGCCAGCATTTTCAAATTGTCTACACAGAATCAGCAGATGCACTGTAAATAGTAAAATTCTGCTTGATCCTGGAGATCCTGTATTTATTTATTCAATTATAATGATGATCTGGATGCTAGTGGAAAATCAATTATGATTCAAGGTTATTCAAAAGTAAGTTTCTAGTTTGAAAAGGTCCTTGTGATGCTAATTTTTGAGTCTTTCTTTTGTGTCATGAACTGCATTGTAAAGAGCATTCAGTGGCATATCTCGTTTGTTTGGTCCAAAACTATCAGTTTCCCTTTTTCACCGTAAGGTCGTCTCATTACACTTCTTTACACTATGACCAAAGATAAAAGCAGTGTTAATAAAAACATTTTTTCTTTCACAGAACATTGACGTAAACAGTGAAATATGGGTTGAAACAAAGACAGGGGAAGGAAAGTCGTACTACTATAACGCTCGAACTCGAGAAACAACATGGACCAAACCTGAGGGTCCCAACTTAAAAGTCATTTCCCAGGATCAAGTGGAGGCAATGGCCCAAGCTGCGGTCACGACATCAACAACACCGCAAGGAACATCCACCGCCGCCCAAGCTGCTCTAGCACAGGCAAATGTTACTAACAAAACAGAAGGTTCAACTTTGTTAACATTACTTATAACATTGTTAATTACTGTTATTCTCAGAACCGGATGAATCCAAGTCAGACACTGCAAAGGTAAATCAAATGGGATCGGGCATAAATACTACACCTAACGGCCCTATGCAACCATCAGGTTTAATGCAAGGACCTCCACCAGGAATGGCTCCATTTGGTGGACCACCTGGACCTGGACAATTCGGCGGGCCTCCTTTTGGAATGCCTCCTCCTGGTTTTCAGGGAAATTGGGGTCCTGGACCACCTCCGTGGGCAACCGGACCTCCGGGCCCGGCACCGTGGGGAATGCCACCCGGGTTGATACCAGGAATGCAACCTCCCATAAATCCGATTGAAGAGGCGGCGGTTATGGCAAAGGTGGATCCAGAAATTGTCGCGAAGGCCTCCGAGTGGACAGAGCACAAGGCACCCGACGGGCGGTTTTACTACTACAATGCTAAAAAAGGCGAATCAGTGTGGGAGAAACCACAACCACTTAAAGACTTAGAAAGTGAGTTAATTTTCGGCTCTATTTTATATGTGTAATAAACTCAAATCATTTTAGCTGCCAAGTTAGCGGCGGCTCAAGGCATTTCGACGAGGCAGGACACCGAAATCGTAGGACCTCCCATTGAAATTCCAGGTAAGCAACTGCAAAACCCAGTTATTGCGACAAATGGCGGCGAGATAGTACCACCGAATGTGGTAATTGCGGTAGTGGAGGACGACGCCGAAAAGCAGAAGAAAAAGGAGGAGGATGCAAAACGTAAGAAAGAGGAGGAAGAAAAAATGAAAGAGCAAAAAGCGCAAGACAAATCCAGACCTATATCAAGCACACCTGTTCCGGGAACTCCATGGTAAGTACTTTAAAAAATGTTAATAAGTACAATAAGGGCTGCTCCATTGCCTGAAATGCTCCGTAACTCTAAAACATGCATCTTTTATATGAATAATTTTTAATAGCTCATAGGCAAGACATTTGCTTCAATATGGTGTGAGCTATGCTCCCGCTTTTTTTGTGTAATGGATAAAGTGTAATCATTGAAGTAAATAATCGGGAAGTTAATTGGTTAGTTGATTTCGACTTATTTGCTTATTCAATTATTAATATTTTCAAACGTGACTAATAAACTCGCTAATAACTAATCCACTAAAAAGTTCACTCTTAATCTCAAATTCAAAAACTAAATCTACACAAATAGTCCTGGGAATAGAGGGTTTTAACTTGCAAAATGAGAAGTAGTTCCAATATATTTTGCATGTCATAGACAGTCATCTGGTGGTTAAGAATCTAAGTTTTCGACCTCCCACCCCTTGTGCGTCCTCCGTACCACCCCCAAAACCCCTGAAATTTGGTTGGTTTCTTAGTTTTTCAATCACGTCTTTTTAATGGTTCACTTTAGAAAAAAATATTGTTATCAGAAATTGTAGACCATAAAATTCTAGAGAACTTTGATATACACTACTTTTTTGTGAAATGTTTATTAAAAAAGATATAGAGCTTGAGAGTTGGTTATATTTTGAAGAATTCTGAAATTTCTATGTAGATGTTTTAACCAAATTTTATACTTTATCTCTATAATTAAGAGTTTTATGAGAAAATATCTTGAACTTATCGTGGTATAAACCCTCCTACCCTGCACCCTTGCCAAAGGGGATGCATAATAATTCAACTTTCAACCCTTGCTAATGGGGTATTTGAATCACTGTGAGATTGTAGCGCTTTCTAATATACTTTTGAAATTAAAAACTTGTCTCACTTCAGTTCAGTTTCACCCCCCCCCCGCGCGGTAAAAATGGATATTTAAACGCTCTTGTAAAGTTAGTCAGAGAGTACAACGCTTATTACATATGTGTTCTATTCCTCTTTAAATATCTATTCCTACCACGGATATGGGGGGATGGGGGATGAAGGATTTTAAGGATGAAGCTGAACTGAAGTGAGATAATTTTTTTGTTTCAAACGTATATTAGAAAGCCCTACAATCTCACAGTGATTCAAATATCCCCACTAGCAAGGGTTGAAAGTTGAATTATTATGCATCCCCTTTGGTAAGGGTGCAGCGTAGGGGATTTATACCACGATAACTTCAAGATATTTTCTCATAAAACTCTTAATTATAGAGATAAAGTATAAAATTTGGTTAAAACATCTACATAGAAATTTCAGACTTCTTAAAAATATAAGCAACTCTGAAGCTCTATACCGTTTTTAATAAACATTTCACAAAAAAGTAGTGTATATGAAAGTTGTGTAGAATTTTATAGTCTACAATTTCTGATAACAATATTTTTTTGTAAAATGAATCTATAAAAAGATATGATTGAAAAACTAAAAAACCAACCAAATTTCTTTGGTTTTAAGAGTGGTACGGGGGAAGCACAAGGGGTGGGAGGTCGAAAACTTGGATTTATAACCACCAGATATTCTTTCATGACATGCAAAAAAAATTGGAACTACTTCTCGTTTTGCAGGAAATGGTCCATTTTCAGTCTCTATTTCCTGGACTAAAAAACAAAACAACATATTAATTAATTTTATTTATACTTTCTTTTACTGAAATTTCGAAATTGGTTTAAGTAACAGAGATTGAACTACCTTTTCTTAATTTAGGTGCGTAGTGTGGACCGGCGATGGACGAGTATTTTTTTATAACCCATCATCAAGAACTTCAGTATGGGAAAGACCGGACGACCTTATACGACGATCAGATGTTGATAAAATGGTGAGCAATCCCCCTGATTCTTTACAGTCCCAGAAAGATGCAACGGGAAAGGTTACACTCAAAAAGAGATCTGCATCGGAAGATAGTGATAGTGATCGAGAAGATCCATCAAAAAAACTAAAAGTTGAAAATCCACCTGTTGCTAGTAAGTTGTTACGAAAATGTCCTTTTTCTATCACATTGTGCGTAGAAATAGTTCCAGATATCGAAGTTACCCCACCACAAGCGAAAAAAATTGACATTGGTAAGGAGGCTGCCATTGAAGCCGAAGTGCGAGCTGCAAAGGAGCGCGCAATAATTCCGCTAGAACAGCGCATTAAATCCTTCAAAGAAATGTTGACCGAAAAGGAGGTGTCCGCATTTAGCACCTGGGAAAAGGAGCTGCATAAAATTGTTTTTGATCCACGTTATCTTTTGCTAACTTCGAAGGAAAGAAAACAGGTTTTTGAAAGATACGTAAAGGAAAGGGCAGAAGAAGAACGTAGAGAAAAAAGAAACAAGTTACGAGAACGCAAAGATGCGTTTAGGAAATTGCTCAGTGATAGTCATCTACACGGAAAGTAAGTACTGTATTATATTTCGTTCCAAGAAACTGAGTAACTAAAATGTATAATTTTTAGATCGTCATTTAGTGATTTTGCACAGAAGTATGCAAAAGACGAACGATTTAAAGGCGTTGAAAAAATGAGGGAACGCGAAAGCCTTTTTAATGAGTATTTAATTGAAGTAAGGAGGAAGGAAAAGGAAGAGAAGTCGCAACGACGCGAGCAGGTAAGAAGTACAATAGTGCTAACGAATCGTTATACAAGATGGTATAAAAAATGGTTCAATTTTTTGTATCGCTTGTTGTATATTGTTACAGAACTAGTCAATGCATTCAAAATATGTAATTGCAAATTTGTATGTATTTGAATGTAATGGCCATTGTATAAATTTTAATTTACTACACCGTACATAATATTTCAGGGTTTTCAGCGTTAGGTATGTAATGAGAATTTTGATAGAATCAATTTATCTTATAATTTTGTTTGTAGAAAGTTGTTCTTCATGTCTTGATTATCTTCAGTTTACTGTCAATAATTTTACGTCAATGCGAGACTACTCTTACAACTTTCTACTCAGATATTGTATATAATGTGTTGTTTCTTTATCCTACAAGTAAGCAAAGTTTACTAACTTTTGCGTCAATGTTGTGGTCCATTTAAAGGAAAATGGGTGTAGTAAACTTTGTTTGCAATAAATTTTGATAAATTAATTAAGAATTGAATGAAGAAAACTCGTAATAATTTGAAGACATTCTGAGTACACTTTTGATATTGAAAAGTTCTAAATAAGTAGTTTCTTATTTAGCACAGTTTCCTACTGGAGATGTGTGGTGGTGCGGTCCGGAGTTACGATCCTGTCTCTGGATTTGTCTTCTTCGTGAGGTCGGGCCGATCTTGGATCACTCGGTGCATTCTTCGTTCCTAATGGCTGCCGGTACTTGTTTTGTTTTGACGGTACTTAAATTACAAATTAGTTGTACCTAATTAAAAAGATTTATTCGAGTCAAGAAGTGAAGTTGAGTTGATAATTCAAATTTCTTTTAATAATTTATTGCTGCTTCAATTGAACACATTGCTACAAAATGAGGAATGTAGTTATAGTTTTAGCATTGATAAATTTTTACCTTTTAAGATGTAACTTGTAACGATTATTTTTGAATTTTCAGCAACTGTTTGTTTACCATTGGAGAATCAGCGAGAACAGAATTTTTTTGAAGAGTTATGAATACAATTTTTTCTAACTTATCACGAATTTTTACAGTGCTTTGTCTAGCTTACGTTAATGCAAGGCACCATTTTTTTTTAGGGTTAAGCATTTAAACTAACATGTGAAAATTGCATTGGACGCATTTGTAATAAAATCAGGAAAGAGGGTTTATGGCTCCCTGTACACTCCACCAAAGATTATATTTAAAGAAGAAAAATAGGAAACTAGAATGTCAAAAAAACTACCCAATTTTTTATGATTAGTTCATCTATGAACCGTAGGGAGCGCTACTGTCAAACAAACAACAAAATTTAAATTACATAGGTAAAATAAAACATCAGTTTATTTTTTGCTATTTGCGACATTTTCAATTCACTACATGTGAAATTAGATCACTCACTAGTAGGCGGAGGACACTTTGTAACCCAAAGGCCTAATCTTCAAATGAGTACAATGCGATCAAATATGAGTTGCTGTCGAGTCACCTTTGGAATTTTTGTTTACATGCGAATTCGTGTTTAACTTGAACTTCCAAAGGCAACTCGCATGCAACTCATTTTTGATCGCCCGTTATAACTTTTGTTTGAAAATTTATTTTAAAAAACTGTTCGACAATTTTGTTCCTTAACTCATCAAGTATGTACACATCAAATTTTTAAATCGTACGTCGTCCGTTTACGACGGAAAAGTTGGTTGAAGTTGAACATTTACGTTTCCGTTGGTCCGTTTTTAACAAGAGTGAGGTTATGTTTGGTATGTTAACAGCGTTCGCCTATTCGTTCTTCACAGTAATAATCAGATAGCAATGTGTTCTTACTTTCGTACCATTTTCACATACTAAAAATCACGGAGGGTACAGTACAAAATAAAGTATAGGTTATGGTTATACTTGCAAATGTACAATGTGGACGGATTGCTATGAACCTTAACAAAATGTACTATCCGTTTGACGGATCAACGCAACGGATGAACGGAGAGCTATGAACCCACCTTAAGAGATAGAAAGTTACCTAAATGGAAAAAGTTGTTATGCTGATTAATTGTCCCATTCAAAATTATTTGTATTTGTATTTTTTTTCTGCATCAAGTGACGACAAATTCAATATGGTGTCTATAAGAAAGTTGATGTGACTTACTTCAAACCCACAAATCATAAAAATGTGATTTTCGACCATCAGAAAGCTGAGAAAAAATCAGGGTAGGCTAAAATTATTTTTTGATATCTTTGGTAAATAAATTACCGTCAGCGCATTCTCGAAAATGACTGATTTGTAGATCTATAAAAAACTGAATGGGAAAATTAATCACTTATAATTGCACAAGAGGTTTGTATTTGACCGAGTAAATTTTGGTTGTTTAGGAAATGAAAATCTGTTGCTTAGCAATTAGACAAGAAAATCTGTCAATTAATAAAAATGCGACACCGAAGAGAATTACTCATCCAATCCCACACCATTTGGAACATTCATAAACCAAAGCGCTTAAGTACAAAGATTTAGATTAATTTTATGGATAATTATTATAAGTGAAGACGTTAGAACAAAGTGTATTTCATAATGTTATTAATTATTTTCATTTCAGTTATCTAATTATTAATTACACTATTTCAGATTTAATGACACTTCGCTTTCAGCGTTCCTGCTACAGCCCCATTTATAATTTTATTTTTTAAATTTAAGTCATCGTGTGTCGCCATCTATTATTGACTTAATCTTGTGACTTCCAGGTAAAGAAAGACTTCTTTCTTATGCTGAGGGAACATTCCGACATAGACCGGCATGCTCGTTGGTCTGACGTTAAGAAGAAAGTGGACTCGGATTCAAGATACAAGTCAGTCGAGTCAAGTGGCCAAAGGGAAGATTGGTTTAGGGAGTATTGCAAAATTTTAAAGGAGGAGAAGAAGAAGGCCAAAGAAAAGGATCGCGAACATAAAAAGGAAAAGGATAAAGAAAAGCATAAGAAGAAGGATAAAGATAAAGATCCTGACAAACATTCAAAAGATAAAAGTAAGCAAGAACACAAACTTGAAAAAAGCAAAAGGGACTTGGAAGAACCTGAAGATATTCCAATGAAAGACGCTGAGGTTTGTTTTTTGGTTTTCTGCTAATGTTTCTTAAATATATTTTAGGAGATGGAAACAGATGTCCCACCAGGTGACGACGATCGTGCAAAAGAATTAAAAGAAAAGCAAGCTCGAGCAGAAGCAAGTATGAGAGAACGCGAAAAAGAAGTGCAACGGACATTAGCCACTCATATGCGAGATCGAGACAAGGAAAGAGAACAGCACAAACGAGATGAGGCCATCCAGGTGAAAAACCTTGTAAAAATTGTAAATAATAATTATGTGTCTTTTTTGCAGCATTTTAATGCGTTATTGTCCGATTTAGTAAGAAACTCAGATTTGGGGTGGCGTGAAGTTAAGCGATTATTAAGAAAGGATCATCGTTGGGATTTAGCAGATTCGTTATCCCGTGAAGAAAAAGAAAAACTATTCAATGAGCATATTGAACATTTAATAAGGAAAAAACGGGAAAAATTCCGAGAATTATTGGATGAAACTGGAGATGTAACTTTGACAAGTACGTGGAAGGAAATCAAAAAGATGATTAAAGAAGATCCCAGGTATACTAAATTTGCGTCTAGCGATAGGGTAAGTTTGAGTTGCTATTGAAACCAATTGTGTTAAGTTGACATCTTTTAGTGCGAAAGGGAGTTTAAAGATTATCTGAAGGACAAAATGATAACTGCAAAAGGGGAGTTTAAGGAATTACTTCAGGTTTTTTTTCTTTCTATAATTGACAATATAATATTTTACTTTTTTGTAGGAAACCAAATTGATAACTCATAAATCCTTAACCACTTTAAGGGAAAATGAAAACCATATGCAAGAAATAGAAGATATTTTAAAAAATGATCGTCGCTATTTAGTTTTGGATCACATTCCAGAAGAAAGAACACAATTGATACTAAATTATTTAGAAGAATTAGACAGAAGAGGCCCCCCTCCACCCCCTACAGCTAGCGAACCATCACGTAGATCGGTAAAGTAGGCATAGTATTTTCACAAAATGGCATTTTCGTCTTGTTTGATAGTTTTTAATTTAGACAAAGTAAGTATAATGACATTGCCATAGTAAATATGGAAACTAGGACGAATGATTGTATGCGTATATTGATTAATTGAACAAAAAAAAACAAGTTTATTTAATTGTAATTTTGCTAATTGAATTTTATTTACTAATATTGTGTAAAAATAAATGAACAATGAATTAGTATACTTTGGGTTTCATTTTTTTGCAGTTTATTAATTTAGCAAAATTATTCCCACATTCGCCCAGACAGTTACTTTACTCTTCCCCAATATGTAACCTATCTTTTATTTATTCTCTTATCTCAAGTTTCCATCTTTGTATCTTTAATAGAGCTCAAAAGTAACCTGACTTTCCCTCTTTTAAAACGTCATCCTGTTGTACACAGAAAATGAAAGTCTTCTGAATAGTTTAATATACTATAATAGTAGTATTCTACATTATTAGCCAGGTAAGTGAGTTTTTACTGGCGATAGGAGAAGTTGACTGGCGAGCCGTTAGGCGAGCCTGTCATCTCCTAGAGCCAGTAAAAACTATTACCTGGCGTATAATGTACAATATTTTATTTGTTACTCATTTGTAAACAATAGTAAACGTAAATAATTAGTTCTTAAATTAATCATGAAGAAATGTCTAAAATATCATGTGATCCATGTAACAGAGACTTCGTATTAATTCTGGCCAATGAAATTACTAGATTACTAACTTGTAAAATTTTTACAGGTCTGCTGTCAGTTTTACAAGTCAGTAGCGTTTAAAGATGACGTTTACCCGTTTGCGTTTTGTCTTGTTAATCAACGTTTACAACTGAGTAACAAATAAAACATTTTACGTTGCTAGTTGAAAAAAATTAAAAAGGTTTTTGCCGTAGCGCGAGTAACTAACACATTTTCCCATGCCATGCGATACAGGTACTGATGTGTACTAAAAGGATTTGTGGTAGAATTTAAAAAAAATCCACAAATAAGAGTTATGCTGCACTCAACCACACACACCTGGTGTTTACAACATGCGATATGTTTGCCTTTACTAGAAGCATTTTTAGTTAACATTTCAAGGTAATATTAATCCCTTTTCTAGGGTAATATCACAACATGAGTTGAAAAATGTGCTAAGAAAGATATGCGGCGCCCCAAACTGTTCAACGTGGTATGACCGTTGTTAAAAAATGCCGTATTTTAAGGGAAACATTCAAAATCTTTTCTTTAAAAAAAATACATCAAAAGGATGCAAATGTGCCGCGAATTTAGCCATTTGAGCCTTTAGGCACTTTTTAAAGCATGCTTGACGGAAAGTGTCAAGATTCCAAAGGGAAAATGCGTTAGTTCCTTGTTATGAAAAAGAGGATAGTACAATCCTGTGCGGTTTTGTTTACATCAATGGAAATGTTATAGTTTTGGTTATCCAGATGAAGTATGATTTATTTAGGGGGGGTGCCATTTATAATTTTATAAAAATATGACATGTGGCGAAGGTCAATCGAAATAGTATATTATGTATCACGTTTTATAGCGTTACTACAGAAGGAGCAGCAATAACATTTTTCTCTCCATTATCATTCTCTGTGTCCATTTTTGAAAAATAGGAATTCGCCCACAGGCGTATAATTACAAGCCATGCTGAGAAGTTTGGCAACGTTGTTCGAAAGTCAATCGGTGGGCCGATATCATATATACCGGGTGATTCATTAGAAGTGAGGACAATTTGAATTTCTCGCAAATCAAAAAAAATATGAAGTTGGTACTAACTGATCATCATTTATTTAATTGCAGTGGTGTATCATCATGCTTTCAGTAAATCGTTTACTTATTTATAATCTACAAATACTGGTTCTGTTTTACCACAAATTATAAACTAACACTAGACACAGTCACATTTCTTACATATGTTAGTGCATAAACTATAAAAATTGTTCAAAATGGAAAAAGTAATAAACCGCAAATGGCACACAACAATTAACGGCGACACTAGTTTCTTAAATCACAGTCATGACAGAAAAAAATTACTAACGAAATTCAAACCAATCTAATAATGCAAAAAATACTAAGACCTTACGCGCGAAATTCAAGCGATCATCACTTCTAATGAATCACCCGGTATAAGAGAAGTATATATATGGCCGATATGTTTTAATGGCTTCTCGTTGCTCTTGAAAAATGGCATTTTCCCTCTCTCCTGTGATTCGCCTTGGCGGTTTTAATATAGTAGAAAGATACTTAGGCAGCTTACAATTGTGATAAGTATATTATTTATTCACAAAAATGAATAATAACATTTTTATTTGACTTTAAAATTCGGAACGCTGTAAATTGGTAACTGCATCATAATGTGCTCGTAATGTGTTTTCCATCGAGATCTCCGAAATTGGTGAACTTCTGTCGAAAGAGGTCGAGGTGAAGCACACGCTTGAGCACTTAATTTCGGTAAAAGGACAGTAAATCGCTACGCATCAGCGAGGTGTTATCAACGACCAGGTGTGATTCGGAATGGCAGACTTTAAGCCAGTCACTACTCCAGTGGGTCTAGGTACGTAGCTTTTAAAGAGGGGAGCACCGTAGACTTCAAATTCCCGTACCATGAACTCTTGGGAATAAGTTGAAAGGTTCCTTCAGAAAATCGATTTGACATGTCTGTGCTAGAATACCTGAAATACAAACTAATTGTATTTTTTCACGATAAACACTTACCGTACTTACGTACCACGTAGTGTGTAGGTCATATTTGAGCTTGTACAGGTACTTTGAACAAATACAAGTGCTTGTAAAGGGCCCAGTAAGGAGTAGCCTGCTTTAGAGGTTACGACAACAAATCAATATATTTCGTTTAGCAACTTACCTGAATAATAATTTCTGTTCATCCCATACGGGCTCAACGGAGTAACACAAATTGTCGCAATCTCGCTCTGTTAAAACAGGTAAATAGGAATATTACACCCAAAACACGTATATAAATCATATATATTATATATATGATATAAATCATATATATAAGAGAAGATATAAATACACCTGAAATCTGTCAAGTTGAATTAGGGCCTACCATGCAGTGTTGCCATAATTCTCAGGACCGCTTGTAATTATAGACGGTTAAGACGGTTGTGAATTCGCCTTACGATGAATGTCAAAATGACAATCGTCAAACTACCACCTTGCTTCGCGCACTGTCATTGCAAAATGTGACATTTTAGAGATTAGAGTTTTTTCGATAAAGTACCTCAAAAAATTATGACAGTGGAAGAGGTCTTAACCTGTGCCTCTTCAAAACTTAACTCGCGGCGCGATTTAGTTTCTCTCAAAGAAACACTCAAATTTTACGCCACTGGAATACAGCACACCCCAGGTGATCCAAAATATTTTAGAAATAAAATGGCGACGGTTTTTGTATTCAATTTTGCTGTAGACTTTTTTCGGGGTTTTTTATGGTAAGGGAAATATGATCCGAGGCAGGATCGTGGGGTACTATGATGCAGAGAGACAGCCGCGGTGATTTTTTTAACCATCAGAGCACGTTTTGATTGTACTATTTTGAGTTTAGAAAGGCCATTCGCAAAGCCAGGGCTGCGATGACTATACAGGAAGATTCACGATTTCGACCAAACTTTATGAGTTGGTGTAACTCATAAATATCTCGCTCAAGTTTGTGAATCAGCCAATTCCTCCATATTGGAACAAAATAGCGGACACTTTTGTATAGTCCTAGAGCTGGTAGACATTTTTGGGTAGGTATTTGAGGCACGCTGAAAACTTGTCCATCACTTTTCCAATATTCCCCAAACACAGAAATGCAGACATGGGTGAGGAGTGGCGGGGCTAACACTTTGCCACGGGCCTTCAAAGTTTGAAAAAAATAATGTCATTGATTTGTGAATCAATTTCAGACATACGCTAAAACGCTGCAACAACTATCAAGTATGCGGAGTCGATAAAAAACTTGTCTGAAATTGATTGACAAATTAATGACGCAGGGCAAAGGGACTCCTGATTTGAAGTGTCTACTGGCCGAAATAAATACATGAACACCCAGTGTACTTTGATCACTTTGGACGAAAGTTTCAGGAGAATTGTCTTTATTTCGGCATAAGAAACGATGAAAATTTCAACATGATACAATTACAACTAATTCAGACGACACTAATAATGTGTAGATCATCTACTTCTTTCTTACGCATTCAGATACTCGATTGGGCATACATTCTTTTTTCAAACTTTGAAGGCGCCTGGCAAGGTGTTAGCCCCGCTTCTCCTCAGCCAGGTCTGCATTTCTGTGTTTAGGTATTATTGAGAAGTGCCTCAAATACTTACCAAAATATGTCTACCAGCTCTCCTACTAATATGTTAAATAGTCAAATGGCTGTAACTTTTCGTATTATCACAGACATAGTATATGTTGTCTGTGGTATTATTAAGCAATTTCCTCCAAAAATTGTATGGATTAGCGTAACTCATAAATAAATATCTCGGTCCAGTGAATCAGTCAATTCCGCCATATTGGAACACTTCGCATTATGAAGAGACTTCTACCTAACTTTATGGGTTGGTGTCACTCATAAATGACGGTCAAGTTTGTGAATCTTCCAGACAAAATGGTGGTCACTTCTATATGTTAAATGGCTTTAACTTCTTTTTATAGCCGGAGGGGGGTTAGGTTAGGTTAGTACGGGCCGTTTCTATCGAAGAACATACGGTGCGCACCTCTAGCTGAACATGAGGGAGTCTACATACTTGGAGTTCCGGAAACCTGAGACATGCGCACGGGTTGTCCTTCGATTCGTCTTGTAGAGGTCTGTCGAAAGACGTCCGCACGGGATGCGTGGCAGTCTACTTGGAGCACAGACCATCAACTTATTGGAGTTCGGAAAAGCATCACTGACATATGCACGAGATGTTATTCGATGCGTCTCGTTGAAAGCTATCGAGTGACATGCAGTGCGCATTTCTAGGATGCACGCGAGTCTACTTGGAAATCCGAGAAATAAGTGTCATTCGATTCGTCCCATCGAATGGTCCGCACGTCTATAAGAGAATTCGGATGCTACTTTTCGAACCGCACACGGTACATCTTAGACATGCCGTTAAACAAAACAAATCTACCTACACCTGATCGGCACAGTCGAAAGGAATTTTTACTTTTTCTGAAATGCAAATTCTTAATGAAGCTCTAGACGGCTCATGACATACATGCATATGGCAGGTGCCCTTTTCCCTTAACCTATTTTGAAATGTGAAGTCACGAGATAATGTATCCTCACTGAACTGAACTATAAAGTCTAGTGGCAGGGATACCCGGCTATCAAGCAGGAAGGTTCTGGCGAATGTGTGTTCGTCCCTTATTTCCTTGAAAATAGAAGAAACAGAATAAAATTAATGTGCTTCCGCAAAGCTGCAGTTGATATGGCTTAAGTTGAAATTTACTTTTTGTACTCGGACTAAAGCGTCACTTTTTTATAATTAGGTATGTTAATCATCCAAATCAATGACGTAATTACATTTTATGTTGTTCCAATATACAGGACATTCCATTAAAAAAAAGGTGCAATTTCAGAGTAAACCAGAAGCATCACAGATTGGGTATTTTATCTGTGCCAGAAGTAAATAAACAACATAATATTTGAACGTTATGCACGTAGTCCAAAAGATCTATTTACAATTTTACACTGTTAATAGAACATTTTATTTATGAAATGGCAGGTAAACAGAGGAACCCACAAAATATTAATACGCATTTGTACCGCAAGTTGCCTATCAGCAGTGACGTAATGCAATAAAATTTCATCTCATTTTCTCATTATCTCAAGTAGATTGTTCCGGAGAAAACGACAGACCGGCTGGTAAATCGAAATCTTTTCAACACCCATTGACTCCATTTTTCATTGGGCATCCAGTATCTCTAAGAGCCAAATAAATTGTTTCAATTGTTATTTATATATATTTTGAGCAAATGTATTACTTTAGAATTTAGATGGAATTTATTGTTGTTTATCCGTACTTTATAGTAGGTGAAAAACTGTTTGGTGTTATGATGTTTCTCGTATTTTATTACTATGATTTACTGAAAAGGTAAAAGTAAACTTTGCATGTCCAATGTTTTATTTTGTATTCATTTTTATAAACAAACTCTCCTTGGCCCCACACTTTGGTATAACATTTCTACTTATTACTATTGTTTAAATTTATTTAAACAAGGGTTACCATTGTTTAAATTATTTAAAGAACTTTATTAACTATAAACACAAAAATATTCTCTCCATTGACGAGATCTGATGACATACATTTAACTACAGGTATAAAAACATTATGTAGGTAAGTCAGCTACACGATGTGGTAGGTACCTATTATACTACACAACAAAGGAATATATTATATATTAGTAATTAGTATTGATCAAAACTTAAATATAGTTTTATAGGAACTTATTCATGTTGCATAGAGCAACATTGAAATACAAAATAATAACACAATATTATTCCTACATACCTACTTCAATAAAAACAATAAACAATAACAAAATGAAACTATGTTCTCTATAAATATTAATAATTTACAGTAACTGAACGGTATATCCTAATTTATCTTTCTTTAAAACAATTCCTACTTTATTGGAGGTTTTATTAACATTACTAGCGACGTCGGTCTGTACATATGTCATATCTGAAATAAAACTCATCATTATTTATTGCAGTTAAAATTGACCCAGTCAGTGTATAGGTACCTAATTCTCCCGAGAAGGATAAAAAGTCAAGGTCCTTTCCAAAACGTGATTTGGATCTGACTCAACGTTATGACGGTGTTTTTGTATACCCTTTTCAACTGAAACAAGAACCAAATCAACAATTTTATAGAGCTGATGTGAAAGCGACATTTATACATCAAACGTGAAACAGCTTTACCCATTTTTTTCGCACTTGTTGCCTCTGTCGGTTGATAAAAATCGAATTAACTTTAATAATGTATAGCATTTATTATTAAACAAATATTGATCATAAAAAACTTTGCTCTTTAATTTACACTGATGTTCTAATGATTTTAAAATCATGTTTACAGACGAAACGATTCTGACCGTAGCTTTATTTTGAAAAAATGTTTTAGTTCACAGCATATCCACTAATTAGTATATACCTACTTACCTACCTGTCAAACAGGGCGTTTGTTTTACAACAAACCACACGATTATAACTTATAATGTTGATATATGTAAGGTTTACTCTCCTACCCACAGCTACTCCCACTTTAAAATTATAAAATCTTCTTGACTTTTTCGCTCTGGCACCTGAGTCAAGAAAAATCTTGACGATTAATGTGCGCATGCGCAGGGTGCGAAATACCAACTTTATTTTATTCTTTTCGTTAAGATATTAATTTTTCTATTTCGGTGTCACAATGATGATTTTCTACAACTGTTTTCGGCCGAAAACAGTTGTACAAAGACAGTGATTATAGTCGTTTTTTTTGGTAACTCATCTCTTAAGTTGGCAGTTACTATTTAGTACAAGTAGGTACTTCGTTGGGTACTTCCATGTTTGAACTTCAAAATGTCAGTCTTACTACGCTGCCAACCTAAAACTTAACGGCATAAAAAGTGTTCCCAACATAAAACATGTTAGTTCTAATGTTCCCTATAGTTTCTGATAATGATTTTTTTAATTAAATTAAAGCACCGAAATAGAAAAAATAGTATGAAAAACGCGTGTTACAATGCTTTATTGTAATACTCCTATCTTGTGGACACTCGTGGCTCGTGGCTACGCTTCGCGTCGCCACTCGTGCCACAAGATAGTCGTATTACAATAGGTCGCATTGTAACACTTGTCTTTCAATATACTATTATGGAGATATTTTTGAAGTTTTAACTAAAGATCGTAATTAGCTAGTAAAAGTAAACTCCGCATATTGTAAACGCATCAGGTGTGCGTGATACGCATGCGCAGGCTGCAACCACAGATGTTTCTAGTAAAATAACCCATATAGAATATTGTAAAAAAAAATCAGATGTGCGCATGCGCAAAGTGCGCAATGCCAACTTTCATATAGAATCAATGGGTTATGAAAGTTATGCCAGCTTTCATAAACCGTTGTTAATTTTATTATTACAAAAAAATACCTAACTTGATCTTAAAATCTTCAAAATAATGTTACGTATTTTTACAATTTTTCTCTCATCTACTACTAAGTATTTTATATATTATTAAATTCTGGTATCAGTTTCCAAAAAGTAACACCATATCAACCACTTCTGCTTGAATTTGAAACATTTTCGCAACGCTGATTAAAAACACTGTCGACACTGTACAGTTAATTGTGAGAAATGAATATCTTTTGTTTCATCATGGTACACTTGGGTTCGGAAAATAATCTTTTTTTACAAATTGGCGTTTCGACTTGTTTTTTTCTGACATTTTTTTTGGAATGTGTGGTTTTGTTTATATCAGTGGAAAATATATAGTTTTGACTAGAGATGGGCGATAACTGTTTTCACCTATCGATAAGTATCGGGTACTTACCTATCGATATATTTTACTTATCGATATGCCGATAATTATCGAAATATCGATGGTTATCGATATATCGATACCTATCGATAACTATCGATATATCGATAACTATAGAAATATCGATAAATCGATAACTATCGATAGTTATCGATATATCGATAGTTATCGGCATCTCGATAAGTAAAATATATCGATAGTTATCGATATATGAATACTATCGATATATCGATATGTCGATAGTTATCGATTTATCGATATTTCTATAGTTATCGATATATATCGGTATGTCGATAGTTATCGATATATCGATATGTCGAAGTTATCGCTGGGGATGGGCGATAACTGTTTTCATCTATCGATATAAGTATCGGGTAGGTAATTGCAGAAGTGCATCAAAATTACCGATAATTTTTTTGAAAGCATGTCTAAAAACTGCATGAGTTTACTTTTATATTTTGGCGAAAGATCCCGACAAGACAAGAGGGCTCTTTTAACAAAATATGAAAATAACCGAATGCAGTTCTTGCAACTTTAATGGAGTTACCAATTTACCATATTAACTGTGCAATTATCGCAGGGCTCTTTAGCTTTCTACAATGCAATTACCGCTGTAATTAAGCGACGTATCGATAGTTATCGACAGTGATATAGTTGTCTTATCGAGTTTTATTAATAAAATCCATTTTCCGGTTTATTCTCCTGTAAAGTGACTATTAATAGTTACTCGACGTTTCTTTGCCACCTTTATCAAGAGTTTTTTGTTAGATTTCGTAAATGTCAATCAATTGAAACTGTATATCTAAATTTGAAGTGTTCTTAGCTTTTTCTGTTTTTTTGTGACTGATGGTCCTCTGTAACCATCAATCAGATACCGATACATAGGCCATGATTACACCCTTTGATTGTCTTCTTTATTTTATCTAAAGAGTAGCCATTTTGATGCAACATTTTGTACAAGTTTTTGAAGTGCTTCTTTTTTTGAGCAATCGTCAGTAAGACGAAAAGATCTATTTTCTAAAGATTTTATTACTGCGTTTATTTGGCATGGATGATGATGTGACGTAGTGCTTCTCTTGAGAAAGGGGGCAAAGTTAAGTTTCCGAAACGTCGAGCAACTAAAAATAGTAAATTTACACGAGAGTAAACCCGAAAATGGATTTTATTAATAAAAATAGTGGCGCTCGTTGAAATCTCAACAATAACATAATTTTATCGTACAGTTATCGACATATCGATATATCAATAGTTATCGACATATCGATAGTTATCGACCTATCGATATATCGATAGTTATCGACATATCGATATATCGATAGTTATCGATATATCAATAGTTATCGATATATCGATAGTTATCGATATATCGATAGTTATCGATATATCGATAGTTATCGACATATCGATACATCGATAGTTATCGACATATCGATAGGTATCGATATATCGATACTTATCGATAAGTATCGATATATCGATAGTTATCGATCTATCGATATATCGATTTTTTTAGCTCTACCTATTGATATTCGATATATCGATAACTATCGATACCTATCGATATATCGAAAAAAATTCCCATGCCTAGTTTTGACTACCAAGAGCTCAGGGGGGTGCCATTTGAACTTTTTTGCCATTAATTATTTCCTAGGCTGAAAATGTTATTCCAATGGCATTGAACGCCGCATACATTTAGAGGTATAATAATCTTGCGATTAGGGCATATTGAATTTACAGATTAATTCAAAATCGGCGCAATATAACTAGCTAAAGTAAGCAGAGGCAACAATCGAAAACTATTTCAGAAAAGACCCATTCTTTGTATGTTATACCATAGTAGAAATACACAACGTTCGATGAGATGGTTGTTCTTGCCGATCGCTATATCTGAGCTGCTACACTTTATATGGGTGGGAGTAACTCTTATTTCATTAAATTGTCAAAATAATAGAGACAAAGTAACATTAGGTTAGAAGTGTTGAAGGTTAAGAGAAAGCTGTTTTGTAACAAAAATGTACGTACCTTTACATAGTTGCGATGGAATACTACTTTTATTCTGATTAACTGCCTGAGGAATCTCAAAAGGAATAAATGGCACAATTGGCTGTACATGAAGTGAATATACAGTTTTTGGCAACATTTTTGGAGGTGCTTTGAGCATTTTCAAATTTGCAACACGAATCTTTGGCGCACCAGATGCATTAGACCATCCGTTGGCTGCAGGAGGAGTGTTGATCTCGACTATCTGAACGTCTTCATATTTGGTAGGTATGTATGTGACTGCCCCTTTAGTTTTGTTTTGTTGCAAAACAGGTGACCTCTGGATAAATCTGCGTGCAGGTAGGGAGTTTTTCGATTTTAAAACATTAATAGTGCCACTAAGACTATTACCACACGCAGTTAGAGTGTCTTCGATTACTTTTTGGTTAATGTAGGGAAATGCAAGGATTAAGGTGTTAAGGTTTAGCGAAAAGAAAAGGGCATCTTCACGCATCGTCCACTGTTTTTCCGGTACACTATCCTGAAAAGAAAACATTGTATTTTAAACTTTTTTGAAAACGAACTTGTTTATATAAATAGCGAACAATAAAACGGAAGAACAAACACGAATCAATTCAATTCAACTGGACATTGCCCCGTCGTAACCCTTGCTCAGCATTTATTCGCATGATCCACAGTGTCCAATGTTTCCGAATTTATTAATTTTGTTAGTGATTTTTACAGTCATAAAATAAACCAATAGTTTTTTGTGAGACAGTTGCTTTGCTTTTTATTATATCAGAGCAACGAAATTTCGTAAAATACCTATACCTAAGTAATGAATATATGTCAAAAAAATTCAGAATTCTAAGACAATTTTCCTAAAAGTAATTAAAAGCCTGGCAGCCGATCTCTCTCATTACCGACCTCTTTTATTGCATGTTGAGAACCGGAGGTCGCATTAGGTTCAAAGGATGTCGCCCGCGACATCTTGGTTAGCGTTGAGTTGTTAGCGGAGACTCGCCCCTGGCGGGACTTGTTTTAATTAAAAAAATAAACTCACCGCTAAAAAAATGTGCCAAATTCTTGGCAGAACAGCTTTCTAGCTCAAAGCAAAAAATCACGCTTTTTGAAGAGTGTCTTTATTAAATAAGTGCATAGGGAAAAAACGTTTCCCACGAAAGTTTATTTGCCGATGTAGAATAAGAATATTCAATAAAAGCTATAGGTTTCTACTTGAAAAATTAGTTGCCTTACACTTGAACCTTAAGGGACCGTTATGTGAAAATGTGCATGGCATCATTAAATGGGCCACTCCATATGAAAAATATTTTAGATAAACCATTTTTGATATCCCCGCTAGTTTCCAATAATCGACTGCCTCAAGATACACGCGACACACTGTATACAAATTAATTAAGAGACATTCAAATACAACATTACGGAACTGTTACACGCAACTCACAAAAGAAATAACCGCTACACCCCAATTCACCCTAATGAATCATCCCTTGAAACTGATATCGTTCTTGTTTCAAAACTATCATATATAACCAGCTAGGTACTTATTTTTGTTCTGTTCCAAATTCCATTGTTATACTCGGAGAAAAACGAACTTTACTCTTTATTAAATTAATCATTTTTTTTTGTTATTACTCATTCCTTTGGCATACATGTAGCGCACATAGGAGGCGTCAACGAGGTAAAAATAAAATACACACATAAAATATAAAAAGAAAATTCTAATTAGTTCGCGATAGTTGATAATTTTTTATAGTTCTCTCAAGCCGGGCCTCACGTTGTTGCGATTTAACGCCCTTGTTTTACTTCTTTTGTGTTTATTACTAATAATTCGTTTAATATCTACAGTCAAACAATTTTCTCCCGGTTAATATTCCGATTTGAATGGGTAACCACCCGAAAACTTCGCTCGTGAATAAAAAATGTCGGTTATTATTTGAAAAAACAGTTGTATGACGTCACGGCGCTAAAGACTCATATATGAATTTAAAATTTTTTTCTACTCCTATACTTTAATTGATATATTAAACATTTGCTACCTGTACTTAAGTGATAGTCATTTCGATACAGATTTTCATTAAGATACAAGTTTACAACCAATAGAAATGCAGAATCACGGGAGCAGGACGCATAATATGAAAATCAAAGTGCCAGAACAATGACAAATCTAAAATTTACTAGTTTTGACAACTGCTGGGCATACCGAATTGGTGGTTCGTTCTCATAATTATGAATTAATCATACGATTCCAATCGGCGGTTATCTTGAATAAATTATTGGGTAAATCGGTTAAGAAGAATCGTTGGAAAATATTTTCAAGTTCCGCCCACTATAAAATAAAGGCAATAAAAAAAGTTCTAAAAATGACCACCAGAGGGCGTAACTTCCATCTTAAATTTTACAAATGCATTTTCTTTAAATTTCGCATAATAAACTAAATATTCTTTATTTACATTTTTAAAGAGAACCAGTTTACCTACCATTTTCGTAAAAACAAAAACTCAGTTAGTTCAAAAACAAAGATGGTGTGGGGCGTTCAATTGCATTCCTTGGGCAACAAGATATAGTTAATTTAGTTGAATATTATATTCTATAATAGATATAGTTAATTTAGTTGAATCCTTCTCCGCCAGGGGGCTAGTTTTGACACTATGGCCCAAAATCCTAAAAAATAAAAAAAAAACAAATGGATATCTTTCATTCTTTATGAAAAAGTAACCAAATAACATCCAAAAAGGCCAGTGAAAACCGTTTTTCAAAATCTCGTTCCTAACCTCAAATAGGTATTGGGGTTAAGAAGTTAAAGCAGGTTATTGCAAAAACAATTGAACGCCCGCCCCACACCATCTTTGTTTTTCATTTGTTGTCATTTGTTGATCATTTTTAGTACTTGGAAATATTTTCCAGCGATTCTTCATGACCGATTTACCCAATAATTTTTTTACCCCTATGTCATATGACAAACGGTTCTCGAGATATGGCCGAGGAACAGTCTTATTGGGTCACCCGGTACATTCGCAAAATTTTAACGAAATCATAGTAACGGGTTTCCTGACAAAAAATATTTTAGTTTTTTTAACTTGACATTTTCTCACCTTTTTTTTGTAATAAACCCTGGCACAATTCAGTAGAAATAAGACCTTTAGAATAACTTAATAAACATTTTAGGTTGCTACTGAACACGATCCGCTCCGCAAAATTGCGAACGTACGTTTACGCATTGTACCTACTAATGTAAAACGGATTTACCCAAAAAACGGTGATCGCAATAACACCTAGTTCGAGCTAAGAAGCTCTCCTCTTATATTTTTAACTGTAAGGTTTACAAATTGGGAATCGAGAAGTTTCATCTATATATTTAGGGACCCTTTTGCATTAAAACTAAGTAAAAAGAAAGCAACGTGCAAACTTGTCAAGCAAACACTCATCCTAAATAGTTACCGCGCACTAAGCTGCTGGATTTCGGAGAATTTAATATTTTTCCAATTATTGTAGGTTAAACAAAGAAAAAATCTATTAGAAATAATTTAATAAAAAATGTGGGTTACCATTTGAAAGAAAAAATTTACTAGTTTTTTAAGTTTTTTGTGACAAAACCTGACATAATTTTTGTAGGTTATTTTTGAAAAATAAAAAGTTCGATGACTTCAATAGAATGTAGAATTGTTCTTCAATAAATCATTCAATAAATTTTCAAATAATATCCTATATTTTTAAAACTCGATAACCCAGAAACGAATGAATTTATGGTACATTCTTCTTATAAATTTCGCATAAAATGAAGAGAAGAGTTAATTATCGAGGAGTGGTTATTATCGTATCCCAGGTCAGCAATCCATCAAATGTTTGGGTAAAAAAAAATATGCATGTAATAGTATATCCATGGATCCCTCCAGTCCCTCCCCTTCCGCTAATATAATACATATAGTTTTTGTTTGTATAGATGTAATTCATTTTTTCTTTAAAGTTTTGTTAATATAACGGAGACCACTTTAATTTCTTAATTTCAAGGTGCAGACAAGCGTTTGCTTACGCATCTTGGGCATGATGTAATTCACTCATATGTCAATATTTATGTCCTTTTCAATATATTTCAATCGAATAATATACAAGGTCTTCTATTACAAAAATGCAATTGTGGTGTCCTGCGCCTTTGTGACTAACCCTGTGTAATTAAAATTACTGCCTAGGTAATAGACATTCAAGAACCGCAAAACTTTTGTATACCTAACACTTTTCCGATAGGTATTTTCCCCGATAATCGACCGTTTCTAGATTGATCAGCGACGCTGTACCTATGAATACTTAATATTTTCTGTAAAACCAAAAATGTAGATATACATCTGTAGTCATTATTGGGTTGGGAGTTTGTATTTCAGCGCATTTGACGAGCTCTTTTGCATTGATTAATTTAATGAATCAAAACTCTGAACAAAAAAAAGATCACTTTTGGTGCAATGGAGGGCTGCGTAGAATTGGACCCACCAATTTATGACTTAATTGCCAGAAAGTTATATAGATTTGTCAATAACTTTATGGCTTATGGGGGACGTCCAAAACATCAATTACAATTGCATCTTTTTAAATGTGGGGATAACTTCACATACACAGTTTTCCACTCTTTATTTGGCCGCCATCTCCGATCCTGGAAAATAAACCCCTTATCCTAATCGAGGAAATATACCAAGTTCTTGTCACTTCACAAATGAGTCAATCATATTGAAAAGCTATAAGTGTGCTATTTTGCCCGCCTAAAATTCGTTTGAATTAAAATATAAAATATTGCCCATATTTTTAACAAAATCCAACACAAAATTAAGTGCACCCCGAATCTCAACAGCACATTAGATATCATTTTGGTACCACGTTCCGTACCATCATTTCGAAAGGACTAAAAAAAGTTTACAACGATAAGATTACTGTATAGTGTAGGTATATCCTCAGGACATTCTGATTTTCTGAGCGTACATCAAAATCGATAAACAGTAGTAAACAGCTTACCAAATTGAATTTGTCTTCAGTGCGTGGGGTTAGCCACCACTTCTGGCGAGATTTATAACCCACAGGTGGTGTACTTTTCCACGGTGACGGTAATGGCGGATTGCGGACGACTTTTTTGCAATAGTACATCTCTAATAATTTCTAAACAACACACTCTAATTCTCCTTGATGTAGACGACAGGCCAGTTGTGCCTTGATAAACAGCCGACAGGTTATGCGAAGGTATATTTTGGTATCGATATCGAAAAAAAGTCACTTAAATAATAATCAACAAGGACAAAGATTTACAGTCCACACATGGTTCACTTTGGAATGGTTAGAAATACTCTTATCAGTTATACTTTTGCGCACGTGTTCAACAATACTGGCTAACAGATTTGTCTTTATTAAAATATATTAGGGTATCCAATTCAGCAAAACAGGTGGCGGTTTGTAAAAGTACCTACTCTTGGCGGTAAAAATACCTAAAAACAAATTGCGCTGCAGTGATATACTGCTAAATCCTAAATATGCTACGTACTTCCCCAAGTACTTCCATTAAAATGTTCACATTTCCGTTTTGTTCAGTGTCATAGTGATCTAATGACAAATATCAAATATCTGCATCGGGTTCTTATAGTTATTTCGTAACTCAATCAAATGAAGATAACAATTTGGCTGCGCCAGCTATCCCGAAACTTATTTATCTAAACAAGAACCGCATCAGCTTTTTTAACAATACCTATCACATTCAAACAATGTGATGTAGGTATCCTTTTCTAAGCAAAGTCGGCATTTTTTACATTACCGAATCGCGTATATTTCCGCTCCTATTCGCAACGTATTATGGCGTCATTTAAGTTTTAATCAGATTTTGTGTACACATTTTGACTACATTGGTCAATATTGAATCCTTATCTCAAAAACTATCGACTTAGCGTAGGACGCTCTGGGAGTCACCTGTCACCCAGTTTGATAGACAAAGAAGCAGTTTTTGTTTTTTAATTTGTTTATTTATTTATGTAATAACTATAAAACCTGCTGCAATCGGGTTTTCCATATTGTTTTGTTTTCAAAATAAGTGACCAAATACGGATTTTCAAAAAGATCCGATCAATGTTACTTAGGGACACGAGTAATAACATGAATAAGTAATCAATGGTAATAACAAATTGATAATTTTTGAGATTAGATCTTTATATTATTCCATAAAAAACTATAACATTTGAAAATGAAAGTTCTGAACGAACTGTACCTTATAGAAATTTCAATTCTAAACAAAGTCATTTTTTCCCCCAGCAGAGCAATGGCAATAGTTAACGAGATAATTGAAGTCAAATGCTTAAAGAAACGACATTTTCCCATTTTTTCTTCGGTTTTTGTTTATAACATATGTTCCGGGGATTTCCGGCCAGGAGGACTATGATTTTTGTATTCAGCGATTTTTAAATAGGATACGCTTGGTTTCATTGAGTGAAGTGACAGTATCCAGTTGGAGTACTTTTGAAGCTAATTTGAGTGGACTATAAGTGGGAATTTCAAGGTTGTATCCTGGAGGTTTTTCTTTCATAATCTATTTAGCTCTCGGTAAAACCAAATACTTGGAGGAGGATCGTCTTTGGTAAAAGCATTGAATTTAAAAGTTAAAACTATATAAAGTTACTTAAGAGATCCTACACACACTTCGGAACAAAAATCTAAAGCGTAGTTACACGCTACGATCTTGGCTACGACCAATCGTAGCGATGTTCGAAACCGGAATTTCCGAAATTGGAGAAGGTACAATGGAAACGAAAATGAAAATGGTGTACATTGACTTCAGAACTAGTTACATTAGTTCATTTTCGAACCGCTAATTTTTCGCAGAGGGTCAATAAATTCCAGTCTTTAATTACAGGCGGACATTAGTCACGACCAAGGTTAGTGTACCAACCTTGAGTCACGACGACTCGTTTATTCTAGGAGCAAATCTCGTATCGATGAAGTTTGATTGTAGCTATTAGCCCATCCGCTTAGGAGAATAGCCCAGTCAATTTAGACCAAAAATGGGCAATCAGAGGAACTAAAAATACTAGTTCTAATTTTTTCAGAAATGTGTAGGAAGAGGTTCCCTGAACAAGAAAAAATAAAGTCCCTCCAAATTCCGATGCCGCTGGGGGAAGGGGGGGCTTTAAACGACCCATTTTCGCTTTTAATTCGAAAATGGTGCGTTACAGTGAAACAGTTTTTCAGTACAAAATGAAAGCTTATTAAATTTGCTACAAGTTTGGTTATATACATTTTTTCGAAAACTGAACCGTTTTATGGTATTAATGTCCTCGTACCCATCGAATACAACTGCACAATTGGAAGAATAGTGATTTATTATATAGGTATGAAGCATACTGCTCACAGATGAAAGAGAAAGTGGTCCCAACATTCCACTTGACTCTGTGAAGGAGAAGGCCACCGTCCACTACAGTGTAAATCGTTTTGAGGTGCACTGCATCCATGCACACAGGGAAAGCCTCATAGAGAGCACATTTCTTCGTTTTCCTGAAGCATCCTTCGTGGAATAGAGTCACGGGGTATGGAGATAACTCCTACTTCAACAGGTTCGAACTATAGGGATGTTAATGCTGTACAGGTTTTATTGTGACGATTTTCCCCTAAAATGACCGGGAGAGGATTTAGAAGCCAAAAATATACGAAAAACGTAAGTGAAAAACAATTTTGTTTAGAAATTACCACCTTTCCGGAGCCGGTAGCACGAAAACGGTTCAGTTTTTCGTAAAGATGTATAATACCAAACTTGTAGCAGTTTTAATAAGCTTTCATTTTGTACTGAAGAACTTTTTCACTGTAACGCACCATTTTTGAGTTAAAAGCGAAAAACTGAAAAATGGGTCGTTTAAAGCCCCCTCCTTCCCCCAGCGGCACCGGAATTTGGAGGGACTTTATTTTTTGTTGTTCAGGGAACCTCTCCCTACACATTTCTGAAAAATTTGGAACTAGTATTTTTAGTTCCTCTGATTTTCCTATTTTGACTGGACTAGAAGAGTGTGTGAGAATTAAATAGTTACTTTGTTAGCGACCTTCAACTGAAAATATGGATCCTCATGGCGGATGAATTGCATTTCAAAAAGAATAACGTTCACTTCGACTTCGCGACTATAGTTTCGGGTGGGACCATTCTGCAGTCTGCGCATGCGCGCATTTGTTTTTTACTATGTACATGTGCGATGTGTTTGCCTTTGCTAATGCCATTTGTGGTTTTCTGTTTTTACTGCATGTGATATGTTTTTCTTTACTAGAAGCATCTATGGTTAACATTTCAAAGAAATATCTTCATAAATAACGAAGTTGGCATTGACTGCGCATGTGCACATCTAAAGTTTGTAACATCAGATATGTTTTCCTTTAACAGAAGCATGAGTGATTAAAATTTCAAAAAAATATCTCGATAAATAAGAGAGTCGATATTGCACATCCTGCGCATGCGCACTTTAATTTCATGTTTACAATATGCGATACGTTCGCTTTTACTAAAAGCAGTTTTGGTTAAAATTTCAAAGAAATGTTTCCATGAATAAGAAAGTTGAAGTTGCGCAGTTTGCGCATGCGCCGTTTAATCGTCAAGATTTTGCTTGGCTCAGGTGCCAGAGGTATACGCTACCGAATGCAAAAAGAACGAACTTAATATCTTGAAAACTGTAGGACTAGTTAATATGTCTCGGACAGACGGACGAACACAGAAAGTGGCTGCAATAGCTTCGTTGGAAAATGCGCTAAACAGTCATAGAACATGAGTTCTCACCTTTATTTTTCACGGCGAGACGAAAATCCATTACCATCAAGATTACCATGCTTCTCTACTGAAAACCTGCACTCCTACGCAATTTTTTAAGAAACTCTTTCTGAAAGATCATACAATTCGCTTTTGGATTTTTTAAAACAATGTTACAAATCGTTTTTAATGGAACGAGTATGTTTACTTATACCTTTTTAATGGGGTATTTTCTCTTTCTAAAAGGTCAAGATTTGCGTGCGTCTCCAAGAAAATTGTGAAAAACGCAGTCATTTATCAAGACGCCCATTTTAGCAGAGTGTGTACCAGTCAGACTTTGAGTACCTATTTATGTTAAAATAGCGTCCACTATAATAGATTTTTGAAAGGAAAATATTCATTTCTATAATTAATTTCACCTTCTGCGATTTTCTGTTCTTAAGTTCCTAGACTATAAGTTATGGCTTTATAAAGTACTTGTATACCAAGTTTGAAATCAGTGTTGATGGGCTAGTTTCGGGGGAGAGGAAACACCATACGGATATATAAACTCATAATACATCATACTCATACATCTATTTTTAATTTGTTTATTAATGAATTACGCAAAATCGAGAACTCTTAATCAGACCGTTGGGGATTTGAAAGCTTACCTTCAACCTTTTCTCAAGATTTATAATGACGAACGTCGGAAATATTATGACATTGAACTCTAAAAACAAAATTGCGCGTACGTACATTACCTACCTTAACCTAAATAAATAAATTTAGTAGATATTCACAAAAATAGTTTCCATTTTTAGCGCATTTTATAAGAATTAAAAAATGTGGTACTGTTTGCGTTTTGCCCGTCCGGACCCACTTCTTCGGTTTTGAGATACTTTTAGAATGGTCTTAAAATCCTGGAATTTTGCGTAGCCACACGGAGGTATCCCTATCCATTTATAATAAAATCCCATAACGTAACAACGAACATGTTACGATACGGCCATAATTTTTAGCGCATTTTTCAAGAATGAAAAAAAATGTGCTATTGTTTGCGTTTTGTCCGTCCGTCCGTCCGGACCCACTTCTGCCGTTTCGAACTGCTTCTAGGGGAATGGTCCTAGAGTCTTGGAATTTTGCAGTAGGTAGCCTATACCTTGAAGGTGTGACAAACGGCCATCAAGTTTCGCCCCCCCCCCCGAGATGCTTTTTGAAAGTAAAACGTGCATAACTTTTACATACGACAACCAATTGGTCTCAGATTTTGCATACGCATGCCTTTACTGGTGCCAGGGGGGAGGGTAAACGAATGTTCTACTCTGTAATATAAGGTAAACGTGACAACGTTGCACGGGTCTCGTACACCGGAACCGGAAAGACAGTCACGACGACAGAAGTCACGTGGATGTACGCGACAAGAGGTAGGTGCAAATTAATCAGTATATAACATGGTGACAGCGATAAGATTAAACGGAAATTGCCGCCCTGTTAGCGATTCGTGTAGAGAAGAAGAAGTGATTTAGATTTTAGTGCTGTGAAGTGCATAATCTCGCGGTTCGGCGATATATACCGACCGTTGTAGTTGTCAAATTGAGTAAGTGTCAACCGTTCAAAAAAAAAAAAAGGAAAACCCCCCTAACTTTATAATGGATGAGGGCCCTGAATTGGATTACAAAACTCAATTGCTTGAGCAGCAAAGACTAATCACGCAATTATTGCAATTGCAATTACGGAACAATAACGCGAGTGACGCGACCGCCAATATATCGCAACATTCGTCATTATCGGTGCCGGTACCGCCGCCATCTGAATTTACGTTTCAAGCTGAAGATTGGAGCGAATGGAAAACGCGAATTTTACGATTCAAACGTATTGCATTGGCGAACTATAGTAGTGAACAGCAAGTGGACTACCTTGTGGGATATGTGGGTGGTAAAGCTGAGAACATTTTGAAATCTTTTCATTTGAGCAACGAGGAACTCAAAGATTTTGAAATTGTCTTTAGCAAATTCGACAATTATTTCGTGTTAAAGAAAAACTTAGTGTACGAACGTGTACGGTTTTTACAACGCGCGCAGAATAACAAAGAATCATGTGATATTTTCATCACAGATTTGACCAATTTAGCACAAACCTGTGAATGGGGTACAATGGAAGCTGAGATGATAAAGCTTCGCATAATTGCTGGACTAGCTGATAACCGACTGTCAGTTCAATTACAAGCCAAGCCGGACGATTCTTTGGAAGAAATCATCAGGAAAATAAGGTTAGCCGAATCATTGAAAAAACAACAGACCGTCATACGAGCAAGTGGCCCAAACCCCGAGACTAGTACATCCGAGCAAATTGATGCAGAGGTAAACTACGTCCACAGGGGTACTAAACCGAAAAATACTCAGCAGAAATACAACAGTAATGCTACAAGAAACTTAGGTAGTGGGAAAACGTTTCAGAAAAACAGAGACAACCCACAACCACAAGAGGAGAAGGAGTGCCGAAAATGTGGATTAAGCCCCCGGCACGCATTTACAGATTGCCCTGCGAGAAACGACTTCTGCAGATCATGTAACAGGAATGGCCATTGGGCAGCAAAATGTCCGTCCCGCAATATGCAGCATCAAACCAACTCAAAAAGTAGATACGAAGCTAAAAAGGTTGCCGCAGTAGAGGTAAAGAACAACTCTGGGGTAAGTGAAGGCGATTTATTCTTTTTGGGATCGATACAAACTCAATGCTGTGAACCCTGGCAAGCTATAGTTAATGTCAGTGGAGTGCCTATAAATTTTAAAATTGATACGGGAGCAGATGTTACAGTATTAAAAGCGGAGTTATTGCCCAAATTTAAACATACACAATTAGACTCTCCCCAGAGACCCTTGTTGTCCGCTTCGGGTGACAAAATTAATGTCAAAGGTACATTTGAAGTAAATATGTTCTATAAAGACAGAATCCACAGCACTGAGGTTTATGTTGTTGAGAACCTACACGCTAACTTGTTAAGTCGCGATGCCATAGAAGCATTGGGGATGCTATCATGGGCAAGCTCGATAACCATTCAAGATAATTTCCCTCAACTGTTCCAAGGAATAGGTGACCTTGGAAAACAGTATACAATTGAGTTGAAACAGGATTCTAAACCATTTTCAATCGCTACCCCGCGAAGAGTAGCGATCCATTTACGCGACGCGGTCAAAGAGAATTTGGAAGCGTTAGAAAAACAGAATATCATCTTTAAGGTCTCTCAACCCACCCGGTGGTGTGCGCCTATGGTGGCCGTTCCGAAAAAGGACGGTAAAGTTCGTATATGTGTGGACTATTCCATGCTAAATAAATGTGTTCTTACGGAAAAGCTCGTTTTACCTGATATAAGTGAAGCATTAGCACAAATAGGTCCCAATGCAAATTTTTTCTCAAAAATAGACGCCACTGCAGGATTTTATCATGTTTCGTTAGATCCAAAATCTCAACTCCTAACAACTTTTATAAGCCCCTTCGGTCGTTGGGCGTTCAAAAAGTTACCCATGGGTATCACGTCCGCCCCAGAGAGGTTTCAAAGAGAGATGTGGGAAGCCCTAGAAGGTCTCGACGGTATAATCAACGTAGCCGACGATACGCTTGTATTCGGCAGTACGCGAGAAGAACATGATCGTAGACTTCAACTCGTATTGCAACGGTGTTCGGAGAAAGGTATAAAACTCAACAAGGACAAATGTATTTTCGGAGTTAAGTCACTTACCTTTCTTGGTTTTATAATATCAAACAAGGGTGTAGGAATAGATCCTCAAAAGGTCAAGGCTATTTTAAAAATGCCCGCTCCTCGGGATGTTAGTGGAGTTCGTCAACTCATCGGGTGCTTGCAAGTGCACACCAAATTTTTACCCGGGTTAGCGGATATGGCAAGACCAATACTCCAACTCTTGAGTACAAAAAATGAGTTTGTGTGGGAAAGCGCCCAACAAACCGCATTTGATCAAATCAAACGGGCTCTGACAAACGCTCCGATACTAGCGCATTTCGCGCCGGGACGTCCGACGCGGGTAGCGGCTGATGCAAGTTCCTATGGCTTAGGCGCTACATTAGAGCAGCAACATACAGATGGCACGTGGAGAACAGTCTACTACGCTTCGCGAACGATGTCGGAGACTGAAAAACGCTATGTTCAATTAGAACGTGAGGCTTTAGCTTCCACGTGGGCATGCGAGAAGTTCAGTCAGTTCTTGATAGGTACAGAATTTATATTGCTAACCGATCACAAACCATTGGTTGTTCTTCTTGGAAGTAAGCCTATATCTGATCTGTCCGCTAGGATCCAGCGTTTCAGGATGCGATTATTGCAATTCAAATATACCATACAATATATTCCGGGAAAACAAATGATTATTCCCGATTTGTTGTCTAGGGCACCAATTGCATCATCTGACCCTGAAAAAAACGCATTACTAATCGATGCTGTGGAAGATTTCTATGAGCACATCTGCACTTCAATTCCTATATCGGACACAAACCTACAGAAAATTAGGTCAGCACAGGTTTCGGATCCCCAAACTCTGAGGTTACGACACTACATAGAAAATGAGTGGCCAAGTAATAAACTTCTTCCCCTTGAGGACAGAATTTTCTTCCAATACCGAGGAGATATGTCACTGTTGGACGAAATTGTCTGTTTGGGAACTCGAATATATGTACCGCCAAAATTGCGACCAGATATGCTGAACAGAATACACGAGGGACACCTTGGAATCATAAAATGTCGTGCACGAGCCAAGGAAACAATCTGGTGGCCCGGTATTGCTAAACACATCGATGATAAGGTAACTGGTTGCGAGAAGTGTATCGAACACAGAATAACACCAACAGAGCCGCTTATGGCCTCACAAGTGCCCGAATACTCCTGGCAAATCATAGCTTTGGATTTGTTCGAGGCTAACAAGAAACATTATCTGGTTGTAGTAGATTACTTCTCCAGATACAAAGAGGTAGCAAGTTTACAAACATCTACTGCCTCAGAAGTCATTGCAAAGCTTAGTACTTTCTTAGCAAGGTGGGGAATACCAGAAAAGATTCGTTCAGACAACGGACCTTGTTTTAACAACCAACTTTTTAAGAATTTCTCCCAAAGGTTCGGATTTAAGCATGTTACAAGTAGCCCCTTGTATCCCCAATCCAACGGTCAAGCAGAATCGGCCGTTAAAATTGCGAAGAAAATTATTTTAAAATCAAATGACCCAAATTTAGGATTGTTAAGCTACAGGACTACCAAACTTCAGTGTGGATTTTCCCCTTCAGAGCTAATAATGGGCAGAACACCCCGTACTACCTTACCAACAAATAAAATGAATCTAATTCCTAAATGGGACTATTTACCGGATTATATTAGGCGTAGAAAAATTGAGATTCAGGTATACACTGATAATTTTAACAACCACCACAGAACCAAAGTAGTTCAAAATTTAAATGTTAACGATAGAGTTTGGATTACAAAATGCGGTGTGGTGGTCAATGAAGGACCTGAACCAAGATCATACGTTGTAATAGCTGATAACAAGCACTATCGACGAAATAGATCTCACCTAATAAAGGCAAATGATACAGCAAATGATACATTAAACCGCTACCCTTACGAATTGTTTGAATGGCCGGAAGAATTGGAAGACCGGACGTCAACGCAGGAAGATCTAAAACGGGGAGGAAGAGCGGAAGAGAGAAGTCTGACGGAAGAGACTGAACAGCGTCCACTGGTAGGAAATGATTATGTCCAGTCAAACGAAGACAATGGTGTAACTCGAGGTGTTATTCCAGCAGAGCAACAGTTTTACACAACCAGATCGGGTCGCGTGGTAAGGCCACCGAGGTCTCGTTGTGAGTGTGGAAACCTTGCTTGTAGTCATTAGTGCCATAAACCCGTAGTTATAAAGACAAGACTATAGTATTAAGTTGACAATTATAAAAAGGGGGGATGTAATATAAGGTAAACGTAACAACGTTGCACGGGTCTCGTACACCGGAACCGGAAAGACAGTCACGACGACAGAAGTCACGTGGATGTACGCGACAAGAGGTAGGTGCAAATTAATCAGTATATAACATACTCTTCATGGTATTCTAATGAAAGGTCTCATCGAAATAAATTAGTTTGTACAAACTATAACTTTCCCGTGCGACTCTTTTTCGAGATCAGTGAGCGACGAGGCCTGAGGGGTGGAGGGGGGGGGGGAGTTAATACAGTTTAGTACGAACAATAGATTTTATAAATGAATAATTCCACCATTTCATAAAACGGAATTCTATAAAAGATCTTACAGCTACAATATAATAATAACATTTATAACTACTTATCCAACAATCTTAAAATACTAAGCTTTGGAAACTTCAAACGTCAAGTGTACCCACAATAGAATACTAAGTATATCCTTAGTTGTTAAACAACTACAACACACGAAACATGTTTTTTATTATTATTATTTTCTTTTGTCGTTTTTGTTCAATCTCCATTTCCTTTCCATAATATCAAATATGTATGTTAATCACTCTTCACATCATTATGTATACATATGTAGTTACTTTCATTCCACTTTGTTGTTTAGTTAATTAATTCCTATAGGAATTTACGAGGGAATTTGATTACTCTAAATAAATTTGATTATAGTCTAGATAAGTTGCAGGTCACGAAATTTACACGGACACGTTACTCAAAACGTCAGATTAAATTTGCGTTTGTGTATAAAAGGTACTACCACAGACAAAATAGTACTACCTATACCTATACCATACCAATACGCCAGTAAAAAGGGAGGACGACTATACTTGAGGTAAATATATTCTTTCGGGGTCACTCTCACTTGCATCACTCATAATACAGTATTGGCACCAACGAGGGACTTTTATCACATTTCGGCTTGAAGGTAGGTAACCCAATTCTTACAAATTAAAGTTACTGTTTGTGCCATGTGTTAATGAAGTGCGAATACATTAGCATCTTCCACACTGCTTAGGTGATTACAACTGACATTGTGATAAGATACTTCAAATGCCTTTTAGTCAGTTCAGAAGCTATAGTAGGTACGAGTATTCACAATTTAAAGAATTACCCTTGACTCTGTTTGCTCAAGGCAAGGTTATGGCTCGCCTGTAAAGCAGACAAGGTTCTCAGCATCCTTTCCTGATATAAAAGGAATGCAATTATTTCACTCTAATGCTGCCACATAGTGAGCTGAGACACGTGTGTGATTGTTTGTCGTTACGATACAATTTCTGATACAACATTCTTAAACACTGTAAGTAATAAAAATAGGCAACCTTACCTCTGTTTTACTTACTAGTGAACTAATTTACCCGAAAAATAGTTAACTACTACCCGCCGGGTACACACTCGTCATCTCCTTTTCTCAGATTTTCAAAATCAAACCGCTTGATGTGGTGTTACTCAACTTACCCTTTCACATTTCATTTACCTACCCACACGCGCATTATGCTTTTTTCTAAACTAAAATAGAAAAATGCACCAAGAAATTTAGATTGGGTATCATAGCTTGGTTACGGTCGATTTAATCAAATATCGTATCTTTGCCTGGTTCCGCTTCATGAAACACATCGCACATTACGATTAGGTAAATAATATGTTAATTACATTTTGCTTTTACAACCTCATTTGGCCATGCTGGTCTGGTAATGCAGAGTATGGGCCTATGGGGAAATGCCAAAAAATAATCTAGCTCTTAGTCAGCTTTCTTAATGCTATGCGAGGTGTGACATTTTTCAAATCAGATTAGAAATTATCTGTAGCGTGAACTATTAGTAAAACTGTCATTGATATTGCATCACAGGAATAAAATGCAGTTAATTTTATGCCATTTCACATAGGCACAATTTTCAGAAAAATTAATGGCTCCTTTATGAGTTAAATTTTAATTAGTTATGTCACACTTACTGCATGTTTATCGAGGCTATCGTTAATGTTAACACATCCTTGCTCGTACGTGTGCCTCGACAGTACTCTCTTTTGCAAATGCTCAAGTCACAATTATTCTTACCAGAATACCTAATTAAACATGATTGTTATTACTGTCGCGTTAGTCATAAATTGTATTATATGGTAATTATTTTTGTAACAAGTGCTCCCTGCTTTTTTTTAAATATTTGCCCGTGTGCGACAAGAACTGTTTAGTTCCCAGCTTTTAACTATTCGATTTGCTAGTCAGCTAGTTTCTATTTCTTTATAATATTGCTTTATAATAGAAAATACACTAAATGTATATAGTAGTGCGGCCTTGTTTATTCAAATTACAATAAAAGACAAAAAAATGAGTAAGTACGAGTATAATTGTTTGAGAGGTGTCAAACGACTAGCTTATTATCGGAGACTACTGACTGTAATGAGAATGTAAGTTTAAACAAGTTTGTAAGTAGGTATATAATGGATATTCAATGAGATCTATTAAATATTAATATAAAATAGTTTTAACCTAAGGATTAACTCATTAGTTTTGATATATACAGTGAGTTTTTTAAATGCGAACATACGATTTTGTATGCAATGCAATTTCCCTATGTTCGATATTTAAAACAAGTTAAAAAGTAATCGTAAACGATTCATATAAAGCGCATTTCCACTTGCATTCATTTCCCATTTGTAAGATGCAACTTCTGTTAAAATCGTAAAAATCCGGCCACAAATATGAAAGATAGCGTTGCACATGGGCAATCCATTTTGACGTGCTACTTCAATTTCAGTTTATAAGAAGAATTTCATTTCAATACCTTTCTAAATAAGAACATTGGAACTGCGCATGCGCAAACCTAAATTTTGAAACTAATATTAGATTTTCCTTTGTTCCAAGCGCCTAAGTATCAAATTTCACTTAAATGCTTCCATAGAAAAAAAAGTTGGCACTAAAACCAAATTTTGAAATTGGCGTTATATTTTCATTTATTCCAAGTGCCTATGTATCAAATTTCATTTAAATGCTTCCATAAATAAAAAAATTGGCACTGCGCATGCGCAAAACCAAGTTTTGAAATTAGCGTTAGATTTTCATTTATTCCAAGTGCCTATTTATTCAATTTCATTTAAATGCTTCAGTAAATAACGAAGTTCGGTTTATAAAATGGTCGAGATGCGAAAAGGCCATAACGAACCAAATAGCGAAAAAAGTAGAACAATAGCTCTTAAGATAAAGAACTAGTAGCGTCTCATAGAACGAGAGGACGGACGGACGGACGGACGGACAAAGTGGCCACAATAGCGCATTTTTTTTATTTTTGTGGAAATGCGCTAAAAAAACGCGTCAATCTATTAGATGTGCGCGGTTCACATTCGCACCAGCAAAACGCGCAACTTGCGTAACTATGAACAGCAACGGTTTCTCGTTTTGATGATGAATAGCAATCGGTACGATTTTTTTAAAGAATGTAAGGCCATGTTATAGCAACTTTACTCTTTCTTAAATTTACAACAACTTGACCTCACAGGGCACGTGCTGATCCCACAATTCATTGTGAACCAACCAAACACCTTTAATAATAATAATAATAATGTGTATTGCGAAAAACACAAATGGTAGGAGTTCAGCCAAAGCTGTTCTTCCACTCCACCAGCAAGTACAGATAAATTAAACTAACTTAATTTTAAGTGCAATATAAAAAGAAAGAAGATAAACTATAATACCAGAAAGATAACTTACAAATAATTTTAAATATATGTAAATGAAATAGTTAAGTATAATATCGTTGAGTCAAAGTTATTCATGTAAAAATTTCGGAAAAATGATGCCTTCCTCCAACATTTTCGAGATATTCACAATTCAGTTTTCACATCGCCACTCGCCAGTAGATGTGTCTTGTCTATAAGATCTTTGCAGATATTTGCATCACTTGTCCAATATGAGTGCCCTCTTCCGGCACTTCGTTTTCAAGATATTCGCTTCGATTTCACCAATAGATATGTCTCGTCCAGTTTTGACATCACCAATGGATATATTTCTTCCAGACGTCCTCAATCGTTCTTTCAAGAACCTCAACTCGGAAAATAATTCATGCCCCCCCCCCCCCCCCAATAATACAGCGAAATTTGATGGGCGTCTGGCACAAGGTAGGACCATTCCCCTAAAAGTAATTCAAAACGGCAGTCGGCAGAAGTGGGTCCGGACGAACGGGCGGACAAATCGCATACAGTACCTAGTACATTTTTAGTGCATTTTTTAAGAATTAAAAGAAATGTGCTATTGTTTGCGTTTTGACTGTCCGGTCGTCCGGACCCACTTCTACCGTTTTTAACTACTTCTAGGGGAATGGTCCTAGAGTCCTGGAATTTTTTGCAGTAGGTAGCTTATATCTTGAAGGTGTGTCGGACGGCCATCAACTTTCGGTGTCTGAAAGCCCCCCCCCCCCCTACGAATTATTTCCTGTAATGCTGTTTTTGAAAGTGCGTAACTTTTACAAAGGGCAAGCTAATGGTCTGAGATTTTGCATGGGGAACACATGTTCTACCCTTCATGGTATTCTCTAATGAAGTTTCATCGAAATAAATTGGTTTGTACAAACTATAACTTTCCCGTGCGGGGGGGGGAATTAATTTTATCTTTCATTGTATTCTAATATTAAAGGTCTCGACGAAAGGAACCGTTTTCTACGAACTACTGCCCTTCTTTCTGTTCTCAAAGTACGGAGTGGAGGGGGGAGGGAGTGGAACTAGGTTTATCCTTCATGGTACTCTTATGAAAGGTCTCAACGAAAGGAATTAATTTCTACCAACCATAGCCCTCCTCCTCGACCTCTTATCGTGATCTGGTATATTCCCTTATACTTACCTCAAGAACGGATTGTCGGAAGAGGGTACTCACAAAGGGCGATTGAGATGTCTGCAAGAAATATATCCATTGGCGATGTCAAATCAAAAGCTATTTCGGTTAAAAAAATGCACTTTATCTGCACAAGAGTTGTGCACAATTTATACTTGTATTTAGTTTTTGGCTCAGGTTCTATTTTGCCGTCTCCACTCTTCTCTATCCACTGCCTTTTTTTTTCATATTCACGTATCCTCTCCCCGCTTTCAGCTTCACTTGTCTCCTTCCTCTTTTCCTTGTACCCTCCACGGCTCCTTGGATCATATCTTTCAGCAAACTAGTCCCTCATGACTAAGCCACACCTTTTTTCTCTCTCAAAATTGTGTTATACAAAGATCTTCCTTTTCCTATTCTATCTAGTATCTGTTCGTTCCTAATCCTGTCTGAAAGGATTCTTCCCTACATCCACATTTCCGTAGCTTCCATTTTATTAACGATCCTCGAGATCGTTTCTTTTATAATTCTTGTTACCAAGAACATATGAATGTCCGGTTTTCTGTGTTAGTAAATATTCCTTAAACCTCAGGTAACTATGCAAATTAAAAAAATGGCGCATGCGCAACCCAACTTTTGTATTTGCACAATCCCAATTTTTTTATCTGTTAAGATATTTACACCTCAAATAAAAGTAAAACTAATGCCGATTCAAAAATTTGTTTTACAAGCTATGCTGATCTGGTGGAACAGAATCAATCCCTTAACGGTGTGTTGTAAAAATAATGTATCTGCTAAGATCTCGAGGGTCGTTCGGTATTCAGTTGTATCGGATTTTGTTAATGCTTTTTAATTAATAATGTGCTAATGTTTGCGTTTTGTCCGTCAGTCTGTCCACCTGTTCCACTTTTGCGGGTTTGAACTACTTTTAGATAACTTGTTCTAGAGCAATAGCCTTGAAGGTGTGCTAGATGCACGAACTTATAAATTAAGATGGACTGCTGATCAAACAGTTGCATAGAGGTAGAAATGGCCCTAGCATGGGCGCCGCCATGATGTGCACATCATGCTTGTTTATTTAATTAGTTGATTTGAATTTCGCGCCAAGTGAGTGCACATCATGGCGGCCCCCATGTAGGTGCCATTTGTTAGTTCAGCATTGGCAGTCCATCTTAATTTATAAGTTCGTGGCTAGATGGTACATTTTGCTGTCTTAAAGGGGATCACCCCCTCAATAATTTCGCTATTTCTGAAAATATAACAATGATATAACGTGGACGACGTGCCACGACTAATAGTCTCAGGTCTTGTATACGCATGCCTCTTGTGGATCCAAGTAAAACTTTTGAAAATGGGGGGTAAAAACACGTTCTCATTGATAGGAATTGGTTTCTAAGAAAGTATACATTTTCCCTGCGATTCCTTTTTTAAACAATAATAATAATAGTACTTATAGAAATCATCTGAGCAAGTTTTTTTATCAATTCGATGATGTACTACGTACTTCTTTATGGGTTTCGAATCAATGCATTTGGACAATTTATGAATACATTAAAATTTCGAAATAAATAACACATTATTATGGCCACGTTTTTCTCTCTACAAGAGAGTGCTAGTTTCAAATTTTAAATCCGACGTTTCCTCTCCGTCAAATAACACAAAAATTAAAAATCACTTCCATAAGAAAAAACAAAGTTGATGATGATTGACTGGAGACGAAACGTCAAACTTAAAATTTAAAAGTAGCATCTTGTAGAGGGACAAAAGTGACCATAATGTGTCATTTATTTTGAAATATCTTTTTAAATAACTTCAGTAAAAAATAAAAACGATTTTGTAAAGTTTCGGTATTTTCCAGATATCTCAGAAAGTAGTAGGAATTTTTTAAGTTTCAAAACTGCATTTTGTTAAGCAACAAAATACGCAACTTTGCCAAATTTAAACTACCTACCTATCTCATACAGTTCCCGAAATCCCCATGGTGGCCCTCGAATTTGAATCACCCTGTATAGGAGCACCGAGCAGGTGATTATTATATCTTTCTTATGGTTTAGGGTGCTACAGACATTTAATTGATAAGCAATTTTTAAATTAGACACGCGGGTTGCCAAAATTATAAGAGACTCTTAATTTACTAGGTTCGTAAACAATCGTAACGAAATTTAAAAATAATGGATTATGGCCGGAGCAAATGGCGATATGAATATGTGTTGAATATTTTTAAATCGTTAGAATTTAGACACGAAAAAAACATGAAAGTGGTCTGTTGTCAGAATAGTAAAAAAAGTACTCGTGGGGGATCGAAGGGACTTCAGCGCATGTTTGTGTGGCAGATCAGTAGTCTATTGACCAGTTTTGACTCCACCATCAAAAAGATCTTGTCGAGTGTTACCACATTCCCTTTCTTGGTACCCACTTCAGACGCGCCGTTCACCCGCAAATCTCGTTTGAAATTTTGGCTTTGGACAAAACTGTAGAAGAAGATAGGAAAAATCACCATGGTAGTATAAGACGCTGGGGGATGGCGCCCTGATGTATAATAGGATTAAACTCTTCAGAACCTGCTGCACTGTCAAAGTTATTCAATATTTCAATTGACCACATTGAGATATGGCGCATCTGTTATAACTATTGGAACAGCGCAACAAGGAAATGCTGTAAAATTGAAGAAAAATTTATCACAAATATAGTCTTTCGAGGATAGCTGTCGCCACTCGAAAAGTACGATAAGTTCGCAGTAGGATTAAAAACTTTACAAGGACAAAGCAAGCACTTTTTTTTTCAAACTGTTGACAAAAAAAGAGTTCTGTGCAAGGATTAATTCCAGACGTCGGAAAATCCCGACAATATCTTACTGATGGTGGAGTTAAAACTTTAAACGCGAAGTGCGAGTAAACGGGACGTCGGAAGTGGGTACCGACAAAGGGTTTTTCTTACGGTGGTAGTCCCCGACAAGATCTTATTCATGGTGGAGTCAAAACTGGCTAATAGAATACTAATCTGCCACACAAAAAAGCGCTGTCCCTTATCGAAGGGACTTGTAGTGAGAAATGAACCTTCAGCTTTCAGTGCTAAGATTTCGTTCCTCAGTCAGATGGATGGACTGGACAAAGCTCTATAAATAGCACACTATCCACTTTGAGACATGTTATGTTTATGTTTTTATATCCCAATGATGATTATTGCTTAATATTTATAGCGTAAAAATAGGAAGTATGCTAATCATATGTAGAAATGTAGGTAGATGGAAACATTGACCTTATTCCACTATTTGTTCAGTACTGTGACGTTTCCATAGTGACTTGTTTTCTGCAATCTCACTTATCAGTTATCGGTACAATTAGTGACTATGACTTGGCCATTGCGTTTAAAAATGCACTTATATGAATCCCGTAAGTGTACCGCGGTAATCCTTATCGTACGATCACCCAACTTATTGTTGATTTGTTATGTGTGGCTTTGACATTCCTATTTATTTCTTCTTTTCAGATACAATGTCGTCATTGGTATTCATACTAGGATTTTTAATGTTTAGTCACTACTCGTCGGGTCAGATTTACACACCGACTATTAATCTAATTGACGACACCAATTATCACATCGCCAATTTGCAAAGCATCGTCCGATCAAGTGAAGGATTAGCGCATCCCGTAGTTGTCGAAAACGCAGCGAGAGAGGCCCAACTCCCTAAGGAACTGTTAAATCCGTTTTATAAAAATCCCGCAATTGCGGCCGGTTTGGCAAAAGAATCGTTGATCACAAACAAGGAGTTTGCGGTGTTCAATCGAGAAACCGAACAGATTCCACGATCGGAGGTATTGAAGATTTTCAATCGAGCTGGATTTTTTAGAAACAGAAGAAGGTGAAAGTTAGATTATACTGTAAATTAATAAATATATGTAAATGTGTCTGCGATTTTAATTGCCCCTACCATAGACAATATAATATAGATATGTTGTCTGTGCCCCTTACAAAGTGCATTATGTGGTAATTGCGGGCAATAACCTTGGGGGTTAAGGTCTGAAACACCCGTTATTTACCAAGATGATATGGTAAAAGAGACACTTTAGGATAAAAGATACCAACGTTGTAATCTTATCACTGAAATGACATTTTGCACTGCAGGTATACGCATTAAGGCAATATTTTAAAATTGGCTGTAAAGGTGCGTTTCTAGGAAAATTCTTAGGCCAGAGACAATGGAAGATACCTGTTAAGAATGTTGTCGGTATCTTGACATAGTAAAGCATAGGCAAGTTATATAAATTTTGACAAACCTACCGCTACCCTAAGTTAAGTTGGAATTGTTTATTTCACAACTATCTTCCTTGCCTTCTGTTATTGGAAAAACACATTAGGATTATTCGTGCTTCCTTTACGTAAAAGTAATTGCTCTCTGTGTTTCTAAAATAACCCATATTCAATGGTCTGTAAGTTCTGAGCAGACATTTAGTTCTCTTGATGAAATACCAATCAATAACTTTCTTTTTTTAATTAATAAATATATGACACTATAATAAAATGTAAGTTCGAAAAATGCATTGAAGAAATACCAAGGTCTAAATTCAGAAATCGATATTTTGAGCTGCTATACTTGTTTCATAAATTATCATTAAAAAATGATGAATGAGTGTTTTTCATATGCAGTTTAGTATCATCATAGATGTAATAGTATTAAATCTCTGGTATCATGTACCGTGTGTCCTATATTGGTTGAGGCTGCAATGTATTTAGGCTGATTTTAAAGCGGTTTCCGCGACCATGTGCCACTTTTTTGCTACACTTTTAATAGCACAAACAAAATCAATCTAGCTACGTTTTAGTTTCTGAGATACAGGCTGACTTGTAAGATAGAAAACACATAAAAACTGCTTATTTTAGATATTTGTACGTAAAATCCAGGGGCGCAGTCTACAAAAATTTTGCTCCACCTATTCTGAGATCAATATCATCAATGCAACACCCTATATAATTGAACGTAATTTTTTTTGCATTCTTTTTCCTGATTTCATTGATGTATCACAACCTATATTTTTTTTTTAATTTTAGCCATGAATCAAAAATGAAAACCTTATTTTGTACTATTTTTAAATAGTAGGCCATGGAGTCATTGAAATTTTATTTTGTTTATTGCATCCGTGGTAACTGTCATTTCAAAAATTTGAAAAATATGCTAGAATATGAATTAATTATAGAAAAATTATAAGTTGTGATATATCATTGCAATCAGGAGAATGAATACAAAAAATTGACGTTATAGATATACATTGCGTTAAAAAAACAACTTACAATACCAATACAACTCTGGTAGTAACTTAATAAGGTATGATAACATCCCAAAAAGTCAAACTCTTCGTTTTTACCTTGTATCTCAGAAATTTTTATCTTTAAAAACAGCTGAGATACACTGCAATCTTAACAAAAATAAGACACACAGTATGACGGCATACCTACAGCGTTTTATCCGTAACTAAGAGAAAGCATTGCATTCTGCTGTGCCCTTAACGGAAAAGCACAAAAAGTGACCATGCACAAATTGAGACAAAATTAATTCGTGCGCATCAAAGCCATTGCCAATTTTTCGCCGAAATAAAGATTTGTTATATGTACTTACGTATTGAACTAACAAGAAAGAAATACAAGTGTAAACAGTTTGTTTCTGTGCATCAAATATGAACTAATGGAAATTTTGGAAGAAGCCTTTCTTACTATTTTGATAAGGGCCTACATCTATTAAATAAGTTTTCTGCGACCTTCTAGTGCTAAGCTGTCCTCCCTCACCAAAGGCACAAATGGACTGAACGGCGCACTGACAAGCGCATCATTTGTCTAAAAAATGTGTTAAAATTACACAATCTACAAAGTATCATTTCAAATCATGCGCTCCTATTTTTATCTAAGGAAACAAGATCCATGCTGGCATAACGCATGGAGGAGCAAACAAGGTAATTAAAGTACAGTAGATGCAGATTATCCGTGCTCCATGGGACCAGATGTAGCACGAAAAATTGAAAAGCACCAATAATCCAAATTCATATTTATTTCTTACATATGAAAGTATTGTATACATGTACTACTAAAAAGGACAAAATACAGAAAATTTTTTATACAAGAAAATTTGTACTTCAAATATCCAAACATAAATGGCACTGGCACTGATGAATAAACTTTGGAAGAAAAGTAGATATTTTTAGATAGCTATCGTTTTGCTATGTAAAGTTCAAAAGCGTAATTTCAATTAACGGAAATCACGGCACGGATAATTCGCTGCGCGTATAACCTGCGCACGGATAATCGGGGTTCTACCGCACTACTACAACTACTACAAGTAGATAGATACTGCAAATGGAACTGCTATATGTTGTTGGTGGGTGTTTTAACGTACCACTACAAAAGAGAATTATTTCTTCTGTACAACTCTTTTTCAAAACAAGAAAAAAAGTTAAAGTTACCTAGACTTTAAACATCCTTATTTGAAAGAATATTATGAGTTTACTCTACTAATAAGGAAAATCATCACTAATAAGCACCTACATACAAGCGTACCTCAAGGGTCCCTACAAGGTCCAATCTCATTTCTTTTTTACATGATGATCTCTAACTCTACTTGGACGAAGAAGCAAACTGGTCTGCACGCAGATGACACGTGACACGAAATTATGGATTTGTCACTTTCACCTCTAGATACAAAATTTTGTTGAGATTAAAGCCGTTATAGGTATGTATTATTTTGTGCTGTTAAAAGTCAAGAAAATTTTTTTTCACATATAATATAATACACTCTGTAGTATGTAGTCAGAAAAAAATTCTGAATTAGATTCTGGGGGACCATCTCGGGGCCTAAAAACGTTTCCTATAACTGCACTATATAGGGCGTTCCTAAATATGATGTAAATACGAAAGGGGAACAACTGGCCTATTTCAGGACTAAAACATACATAGGTCCGTAAACAGATCTATAGGGTGTTACAATTTCAAAATTTTTAAGTGGTTTCTTTATATCTCCTGCAGTAGTTAGCTAAATGAAAGTAACATTTTTATGGATTATCTCTTGTTTTTTAAAATTTTTTTAATTCAATTTTCGACTTTTCGATTTCGATTATTATTTAATTTACCTTTATACCTCAAAATATATTCAAAAATTTCAAAATTCATTTTCAGTTCCTTTTAACTGAAAAACAGCGTGTAATTATTAGTGACAATCATCAGTGACAAATTCTAATGTGATTCCTGTAGGTGTTTATGAATCTTTATTGCAAAATTGTCTTATTTTAATTTAAGTTTTTTTTGTTATACTCTGATATCTATTTTTTTCTGATATTATGTCTACTTTTCTAACGGAGGTTCAGTGGAAGAACAATAATATTCTGAACTGTGCTTCAAGATTGTATTTTCCTATGTTTTGTTTGTTTTATCTAATCTGTGTATCTTTTATATCTTGCACGGCAGGAAAAGACAATAAAGACCTTTATTATTATTATGGTCGCTGTTTCTTGTGAGAACTCAGGTCTAGCCTGGTTAATTAATCGCACGGATTAAAATCAAGTAACGATTAGTATCTGTGTCTGTGTCTGGTGCAGTGTTATGTAGGGTCCTTAAAAAAAAACCACGTGTATTGGCAATCTAGGGATAGTATGTAATTCATACTTACCAACATAGGTATTGGATGGGCGGGCACAATAGCCAACGCTATCAAGAAAGAGGAAAACAGAACAAAACAAAACAGAATCATTATAATAATTCCTGCTGTGTTTCTGCGAAGAAGGAGTTTTGTGTTTTTTAACTGTGAAAGGACGTGTAACTTTATTGGGTGGACCTGTCTTTGTGGTGCATGTTGTGTTACTTGTATTTATGGTGTTTTGTTTCTGAGAAGAAGGAGTATTGTGTTTTTTAACTGTGCTGGGGCGTGTAACGTTATTGGGTGGACCTGTCTTTGTAGTGCATGTTGCGTTACTTGTATTTATGGTGTTTCTTTGTTCTTGAGGTTGTATTTGTGAGGTTGCTTGGGTTTTTGGTGGGGATATTACAGTATGTTGTGAGCTAGTAGTGCTGTTAAGGTTGTTGCGTTTGGGTTGAGTACGAGTGGGTTGTGATAACGTGGTGTGTTTCTGCGAAGAAGGAGTTTTGTGTTTTTTAACTGTGCTAGGACGTNAGTGTATCTCTATGTTCGTTATAATTTGTATTTTGTTCTCGTGTGGTGTGATTGTTTAGTTTTGTAGTTATGTGTTGTACTTGTCGTGTTAGTTTTGAAGAACGAGTTCCTTGTATGTATTGTGTAATCCGACCTAAGTCACGTCTGATGTCATCGATGCGAGTTATCAGGCGTTTTTCCCAGGCCGGGGGTGTGCGTTTTTTTGTTGTGTGCTGTTGTTTGTTTATTGCTATTCCTGCACCGTTGCATCTAGAAACTGCAACCGCACCGCAATACACAACAAAGTGTAGTTGATGTAAGCTTGTGTTATCGTTAATGTAATTTGGTAAAATGTGATCATTTAGTGTTTTTGAGAGTGTGCGTAATTTTGTAGTGTGACTTTGTTTAGGTATTCGTGGTCTTTGTGTTGGGTCAGTGTTTGAGAATTCTAACAATGCATTGTCGAATTCTTTTTGAAGGGATGTGAGTGTTTGGTTCGTGTGATTATTTGTATCTATCGATGGCTGCAGTGTCGCAAATGTCTGTATTTCAGAGTTGTTTAGAACGGATGTATTATCTTGTACGGCGAGTGTGTTGTTTGTGTTGAGTAGTGCTTCAATTTCGTGCCTGATTTGTTCCTGTGTGTCTAATGTAAGGAGTGTATTTTTAATGATAACTCTACGTTGGTCTGCAATGCGTTGTTTTGTTAAGTGTGCTAAATGTGGGTATTGTGTAATGAACGCGTGATATAGTTTACCTCTGTATGCTGTCCTGTCCGTTTCCATCTTCGTGATCTCCAGATACGTACCGAAAATGAAGCGATTCATCCCTTCGTCCCATTTCATACGTCTTTTGGAGGTTTCCTTTGCACTGGTCCCATCCACAGGCGGTTGAGAAGCAGGCACAAAGGTTTCTTCTTGGTCGTCCTCTTCAAGTGGTCGTTGTCGTCTTCGTGGTCTTCTTTCGGCTGTAAAGGTTTCGGGTATCCCGACGAGCGGCCGCCTGATCACCAACTCGTCACTATCGGCTCGCATGCTGCAACGCCCAGCGATAGCTCCAGACGTGCCCTGACGCTCCTCAGGTAGCGGCATTTTTCCGAGGCTTTGTTATTATTATTATTATTATTATTATTATTATTATCAATTTGTAAACATTTTTAGTACCTATGGATTATTCAACTGCAGCAAGAGTTCCGAGTGGGTTATTTCACTATTTGTGTTTTATACTTATACATATGGCGTTATGGTTATCATTTCCAATATCTCCGATGGTTGCATTGAATAGCGGAATGTATGAAATTGTTTCATGTAGACATGTACGTTGTTATTAATAACATTTGCTATGTCACCACATATATAAACGAAACTGAACGGTTTTCAACTACATTTTTGAGTTATGTCGAAATTTTTAGCAAATGCACAGAATAAGCTGTATTGTGTAACGTAAATGAAAAACCGGACTATCTTGAATATTTGGCATAATCCAAAACAGTTTCGTTTTATATTACCTATCTGTATTCTGTATTGATGTATGTACGCGTCGGCTGTTTACTTGTGTGGCGTAGTATAGGATTTGTATGCGATCAAACAGAGATGCCGTCGAGTCACCTTCGGAATTTTTGTTTAGGTACAGGGCAAATCATATTTAACTTGAACTTACAAAGGCGACTCGACGTCATTTTTGATCCCGCGTGATGTGAAAACCGTAATGCTCGAACTGGACTTCCTAATTATGTTAGAGGCAAGTTCAATTTTCCTAGTTCTCTAACTGGAAAAATCAGGAAAAAAAATGATCATCCTTTTGCAGTAAATTTTGCTTGGAAATTATAAAATCGAAGAGTACGCTTACATTTGCCATTTCAATTTGATTGTTTCTTACGTTAGGTAGTATTCCCAAAATATTCATTCACCGCTACGAAATGGCGAAATTGTACATCCACAATTAAAATAAATGGTAAATCCATTGCCTTTAACTTTTTTTGGATTTCTTTTCTCCGTTCTAGAATTAATGCAGGATGCAGATGATAATATTTTTTCCGAATATACATACCTATTTCCAACAAAAAACCTCTAAAATCATCAGAGATTTAGAATTATTATATGAATAGAATCCTACGCTCTTGTCGCGCTTGTTACCACTCACCCAAGCGCAGTTTGTAATTAAATCTTTATATCTAAAGTAAATGGCTTTTACGGAAGGTGGAATGCAGCTAACATTTAATTATATAAAATGGTTTTTTGTTATTCCGTTGCCTTTAATGTAACAGAATCGCCCAGAATAAAAAAAGCATGGTGATAAATTATTTTTATCTCTGTCAATTATTCCGAAATATATTCGTTTTTTCGTATAATAGCGTCCTGTATTTACTTTTATATCATAAACAATAAGGGTTTTATGAGCAATCAATCTTGCAATTCCTGTTTGAAAAATTTTACAGTATTTTAGAAGGAAACTACCATTCATCAATTTGAAGGGTAAGTTCAGGTAAATTTCCTTAAGCGACAGGAGGGGTTGAAACGGTACAAAGATTATTTAAGCGGACGATTTTAGGCGCCAATAATATTTACAAATTGACATTTTGCTACGGTGTTCGGATCGATTGGAAACATAGGTGAGTAGCTACTCCTTTTGTGCTTTTTTTATTAGAATCGATACTTTTAGTCTAATCAATTCATTAAATTCCAGAGTGTGTTTTGAATTACTCATAATGACATTACAATTTTATCAATATTTAATTTAATAGGCCCGCCATAATTGTTTGAATTTTTTGTTGATTTATTAGATAAAATTAATTATTAAATATTGTGCCGTTTCTTGGCGGGGTGTATTAAATATCCTTAATTTTATATTAATGATGACTTTTTAGGATGAAAGGGTTGCACTTGATTGTGTTCATCGCATACCTAAGCTACGGCGTTGCTGAAACCGTATCCCAGCCAACACCTGGAGGAGTCCCAACTGCTCCACAACCAGTATACCAGCATCCAGATAAAAATGTGCCCTACATTCCACACGCAACATATCCATATGCGGAATCTTTTGAACCTAGTGCGTCGTACGAGGGATACTTAATGCCAAATTTGGTACAATATCCTCAATATGGCGAAGAAAATAAGTCGTCAGTAGCCAAAGTAAGTTTTACAGTAGGTACTTTTATCGAATTTTGATTAATTGTTATTGTAATTTACAGAGCAGTTTGGCCGTAATGTTAAAAATTCTGGCAAAAGTTGGATTATTTTTATTGGGAGGTGTAGCACTGCTGTTTGTCGGAGGAGCTTTTACTACTGCCGTTTGTTCACTTACTCCAATTTGCACAATAACGTTTAATGGATTTAAAGGGATTAACCATGAGAAAATGCGAGCCCTTGTGACACCTGAACGGGTAGCCAATGCCGCCGCTTTTGTAGAAAATGCCGTGGATAAGTATCAACGTTTGCAAAGGGCCATCAACGGGTAGAAATGTGCATTTTATAATTTAATTATTAATGTAATAATGTTGCTGCATTTTGTACAGTATTGAATAAACATTATGAAATTAAAAAAAGACAACATCCTCTAATTCCCAAAATGATTGCTTATTGTCATTTTAGTTGCACTAGTTCAATATCACAATGGCTCATGAATATGTAATTACAATTGGATTTTTTGCACAAACTACAATTACAAAAACTGCGCGAAAGTTAAGTGTGTAATTTATTTAATTAGCCAGTTCTCTGGCTATAATCTAAAGATAAAGGTTAACTTTTATTAGTTCACCTTTTCAAATCTGTATATGTATATACTATACAATATTTTTTTAGTAGGACCGCTAATTAACGTATCAATGGTAGCATTGAATATGGTAGGCAGAACCAAAGAGTAGGTATATAACGAAGTATACTCTTTGGTAGAACCATTGAATAACGAATCAGTGTAGTATGATGTTCGGTAGAACCATTGTATATGTAGAACTCTTCAATTCGAAGTGTTCAAGAGCACAAGTTCGAATAAGATTTCTAAATTATTTCCTATCAGAGAAAAACGAATGTTAGTACCTCTTTATCATATTTTCAAATTTTATTTCGGCTTGTAAGTACCATCATATTGATTACTTATTCAATGGTACCATTCCCTTATATCTTTCAATATAAAATTTGATATTCATCCATATTTTCACAACAGGTGATAGGCAACACATGATGCTAACTCTTCGTTTTAACTCCGTCATGCATGCAGGACCGTAGCTAGTAAGGAGGCCCCGCTCTTGAAAATTGCTTAATATGACGCAATATAGCATGCTCATAAATGATCATATACGGGGTGACAACGCCCTGCGCCACAGCCACCTCAACTGTTAAATCTTAAATAGTGACCCCCCCATGTGTGATACGTCGTTGGAAAGCTCTGAAAAAATGCTTCCCAACCATACCAAATAGCATTACATTTAGGTTAGTAATTATCGTGCAAACCAAAAAATAAACTAAACTAGTTGGGGTAGCTGGGGCGTAGGGGGTTGGAGGGGGTGCGTCGCCAACTATGTAATTGTGATTTCCCCTCCGAATTACCGAAACGGATTTTGATTTTTTAAAATATCTCGTTTATTTACTAAGACATGGGCTGGTAAGTTTTCAAATTGTCACCCTGTATAAAAAAATGTGCATTCGGAATTATGTTAAATATTAAAATTGGACTACCTCGTGGACTACAGTCAAAGAGTAACTAACTACAGTCACGATTGTGTCTAAATTATTTTCTCTGTGCAGGGTGGCCAAATTTGGTTGTTTGAAAAATAGAAACAGAAAAAAATTAACATTGCAGTCCCGATGTATTTTCTGAGATAAACTCTAGGTTGAAAACCAAACTAGCCTACAGTTTTTTGTTTTTGAGTTATAGGCAAACGATGCATTTTGTTCTTTTTTAAATAAAAGCCTATTTAATGTCTTTGTTGATTAAGTTGTCGGAAATGTGTTTGTTACAAATGATTGTTGCATAATCTACCGTTTTCAAAATAAGTATACCGGGTCACTTAAAAATGTTATCGTTTATTAAATGAAACACCCTATATATTTTAATCCAAACAGCCATCAGCATATTAAATTCTCTTTTCAAAACTAGCACACCAAGGATGATATTAAAAAATAAGATTCAAGTGATTCAAAAAATTGAAGATTCAAAAAGATTAAAAAAATGTTTTTAAAGATTAAAAAAGGTTCAAATAATTTCTTTAAAAACTTCTTTCTAATCTTTTTTAATTTGATCCTTTTAAAAGATGATGTTAGGCGCGATAATTCGTTTACCTGACCCCGTATACTTAATTTAAATTTTTTTAAATTTCGTTTTCAACATCGAGTTTACCTCAAAGTGTTTTCAAAATGTTATATGCCCAAAAAGAAGCGTTTAAAAAACGTACGAGCTGTATGCAACAGTTGCAGTGTTTCTTTGTTCGACTGCTGTGAATTTTCAACAATGGCGCGAATCAAAAAGCTACGAAGGTTATCGATGTCTCATAAAGGAATGGCTGATTTGATCTTTTTAGCCTTTGGATTTCTTCAAAAAGAACAAAAGAACGTCAACTGCTTTAAGTGGCGATATTAATCAAGAAAGTGTTTAGGATGAAGGATGGAGTTTAATAGTTTGTTAATTAAATGTCTAAGGTTTATTGTGCGTTTTCCTGTTAACCCAGGGGGTGAGGGCATAAATGATATACAAATAAATAAAAAATAAATAAATAAATAAAAAATAAAGAAAAACGAATTTCTTCAGCGGGTGGTATTTGCGCGGACACAGGAAATTATTTCGTCCGCCCGCTCTGTAGATTTATTGGGCCGCTCTTAATAATCAATCTGACTACGGCGCTGCATGCATGGACAGGGGGAGATACCCCTGTAAAAGTTAAAACTCCTACATAATTGGTAATCTAACAAAAGGAAGTGAACTTCATGACTCTCCCACTCGAGCCCACTCCCTTGGCAGAATTCTCGTAAACTAAACATAAGATATAGCCACAGTATATTATAGCAAAGAGTATTATAGCTATAGTCAAAGAGTATATAACCACAGATATGTATATCTGTGATATCACTAAACTAATCCCATCCCTGCAGTACTGTCTCTGTTCAATGAACACGGTAACCTTATTCGAAAAAAGGTCCTGCAGGTAGCAGGCGTATGCTATTAATATTCCAATTAGCAACCCCGTTGGTCATTATCTTTGACAAAGGGTGTATCTAATTAGCTAAAAAAATGTCTGAAAAAATTTCAAACCAAAAATAAAATATCCCTTCTACAGAAGATCTATAACCTACTTTAGCTTATGAACAAATACTGAGAAACAAATTGAGTGAAGGATTATTACTCAATGATACAACTACGAGTATAATGATAAACGTGTAAACAAATATAAGGAACGACTTCCTGGATATGGCTATTGCAAAACCAAATGTTGACACTGGCGTTACATTTGCTTCTATTCCAAGTGCTTCTGTATCAAATTTCATTTAAATACCTTCGTAAATAATTTAAAAAAGTTTGCAATTCGATTCATAAATGATCGAGATGCAAAAAGGGGGATTGTGCTGTGTATGTTGTAATGGATTAAACTCAACATTTGGAATTGCGTGTTGCATGGCTAGAGCTATGCCCATATTGAATTTCATGCAATTCGATTGATAAGTAACAGAGAAGTCAAAAGGGCGTTCCTTATTTTTTGACCTACATTGCCAATTTACGAAACAGACGTTATCGAGATATCGTGGTAACGTATATATACGGACGGATAGACACCGCTAAATTATAAACTCGCTAGGAGCTCGTTAATAATATGACAAATTGTGTAGATTTTCCTATGAGCGTTAACGGCGCCATATTATATTATATTATTAATTATATGGTGTAAAGTCAAAATTCAGTTTCTATACAGGGTGTAGAATTGGTTTACGCACCATATGTATTTCAATGGTAATTTCTTTATATCGAAATATTTTCTCCCCTAATTATTTTACAGCAAAGTTGTAAATACATTTTTGGTAGATTGTAAAATTCTGCGTCTATTGATGTGCCCATTTGTAGTTTTTTGTTGTGGGAAATCGGAGAAATTAAGGGAATTATAAATGATCATTTTGGTAAAAACATAGAGTAATCACTTGTGCCGTGAAATTATTGAAACAAAAATTTTACGCAAATACTAAATTCTAATTTAGGTACTTAAATTTTCCGGTTTCTCGAATTGAAAAATAATAAATGACGACATAAGCAGACGCAAAATTTTTCAAGGTACAAGAAACCTATTTGCAATTTGGCTCTAAATTAGTTTGGGGAGAAAATATTTCGTTATAAAGAAATTAGCATTGAAATCCCTCTATGGTGCGTAAGTAAACCGTTTCTACTCTCCGTATGCACGAATGTAATCCGTATCAAAAATATTAACTCTGCCTCCCTTAAGGCGCGTACAGACATGCAACAGAACATCGTAACGTACCTAACTCCGCTCTGCAACATTTTTGGTTGCAGGACGAAGTTACGGTGTGATTGGATTGCGAGGTGCAACAGAACACCGCTCTGTAACATTGGCGCGAAACATACCGTCCCATCAGTTTCTTAATTTTCTTGTTAAAGACCTGTCCCGGTTCCTTGACTTTATTTAATTTTAGCCTTTTCTCTTCGGAGTGCCGACAACAAACCATTAATTTTTTTCTTGCAGTCATCAGTCGCGATTTTGACCTCTTGCGCAATTTCTACCCATGCGTCGTTTTTTTTAAATTGTATTATAATTAAAGGTGTGTTTAGTGTATCCCACAAAATCTCTTTTTTTCTGTACACTCCATGTTCAACTGCAATACGCACGAAAGTGAATTGACAATTTAAATAGGAAACGTAAAAACGTTCGCAAAGTGGTACGAACATGCATATACCACGCGCAACATGAACGCGTAACATCCCTTTGATGCGACGATGAAATACCGACAACGGATGGGACGCCCAAATGTTACGATGTTACACCGTTACGCTGTTGCGTCCAAATTTGTTACGCACCGGTGTTACGTTACGATGTTCTGTTGCATGTCTGTACGCGCCTTTACAGGACGGCGCTCATCAGGTAAGGTCACATGCATCTGTCGGTGTCGCTGTCCCTAGTGATTATACTATACAATAAGTACCTACGCCGCATATTCATAACTAAGTGACACGACGTTACGCCGCTGTTCGCTGGTATAATTTTATTTGTGATGTGCGCAGTCCCCGATCCCGCCAGAATAGCGATATCTGCACCAATCCAACTCGACTTTTATAAATAGGCAACGACAACAGAAAGGAAGTCATTTAAATTTGTTTAGTTTTGCCGGCGTAGTAACAGCTGTGAAATATCGTTTTGTTAACTGTAAATTTAGAGGTAAGTGAAATATTTTGATTATTTCAGAATCTTCTTTATGAATTTGTTTTATTATTAAAAGTAGTTACGTACTATGATTAGATTAGAGACCGCAAGTTCAGCCTACGAGTCCTATGACCTTTTTTTTAAAAAACACATTTGGCGGTGTACGGTATACCCATAGATTAAAAAAACTAATCTACTTAAACAAATCCGTTAATTTTTGCGAATCATAGCTTTGAAATCTCACACTTAACTAAATATTTTTCCTGTTTCCGTAATATTCACTGGTCATATCTCGGGGTCATATCTAGTTTATAATCTGCTATGTTATGTTAGGAAATTTTCCTGTGGGAAATAGGTATTTGTGACATTCGCGACAATAAATAATATTGGGAACAATTATGACCAAATCATGCATTGTCGTTCAGATTTCACTTCCTTTTTGAGTAACTACCTGTCTACTCTCTTGAAATAGTAGTTGAAAGTGTGGGTAATTAGTTTCACTTTTAACTTTGACCTACTCTTAATTCCCTTATTCATTGCATTAGCTTTTTGTCGGTGTACCCAACCCCCACCATGTATTAGAAACGTAAATATTTTCAACTACAAAAAGAAGCGTTACATGTTATCCACGTGTTTATTCGGTATGATATGAATTGCCTATACCAGGCTGATTCAAATTCGAGGTCCACTCGGAAACTCGAAACTGTAAGAGAGAGGTATAGTTTTTGGCAAAGTTGCGTAGGTATTTTGATGCTTAAAAAATGCAGTTTTGATCTTTTGAAACTTAAAAAATTCCGACTACTTTGGGAGATATCCGGAAAAAAACGGTTTGTCTGTTCTCTCATTTCCGGCTAAACGGCTGAACCCAGGGGCGGATTGGGTACTTACGGGCCAGGTGGAATTGCATAGGTTACGGGCCATTTTTTTTGCTTGATTTTAAAGTATTCCTTTCTCGAAAATCAATTAGAATATAGTTTTTTTTAATGGCAGCTGATAAGAGAAACGTGTTAATAATTTATTAATAGTGCAAGAAACTAAATACAGCACATACCTACTTATAAATAGGGCTAGGATTTTAATGACGTTAAAAATCAGCGAAAATGAAAAATAAAAAATGCAATTGTGACTTAAAAATTTCGCAAAAATGACATAAAAATTTAAAAAGATGACATTTTAAATAACAAATAAATTTATTGATGAAACTGAATAAGACCACAAAATTATGTTAAGAAGGGTAGTGATTAGGTAAGATAAGACAGGAATTTGAGTGATGGTTCATTTCCACCCTCTGCCGGTCAGTCGTAGAATACCGTAAAATATCAAAAAATTAGCGCTATTCCTGAAAAATGCTAAACATTCAAAGTAAACACACAAAAATGCTAAAAACACCGTAAAAATGAGCAAAAATTGACCCATTGCTCAAAAATGGCAAAGAATGCAAAAAAATTCACCAACAAGTTGCTGTCATTTGATTCAATTTATCCTGAAACACGTTTATATATAACAGAGCAATGTCTCAGACTTTCAGAAAAAAAGATACAAAATCATCAAAATTCTAGCCCTACTTATAAATTTCCAACGGGCCATTATAACCTACAGGCCAGGTGGCAACCGCCCCCGCCCCAGTCCGCCCCTGGCTGAACCGATTAGAACATAAAAGACATAAAAGGTAAGGTAGGAAGAGCTGAAAAGCTTTTGGGAAGAATCGCGTATGTGCACATGTGCGAGTGGTACCTGTGCTAGCTCTAGACATTTTTTCTATGTGTTTAGATGATTCATTGATGATGCCGAATGATCTGTGAGATTGTTCAATATTCATTTGCATTGGATTTTTGATGATGGGCATTACCTAGATTTTGGGAAAAGCTGCTTTTACTTACCCAATGAAAATGGTTCGTACTATTAAATACTTAATTTATGTTTGATGGCAGAAACATACATTATAATGCACATTTTCTATCTGTAGAAATCAAGCGGCGTGGCGCAAGTTATCTTTTCGTGTTCTCGAGGTAAACTTTTGTCGTTTTTCCAAGATAACTTATCTATAAATGAAGTTGAACAATTTCCAAAGTTGGTATAAGCACAGATTTAAACACTTCTGTGGTATAAGTTCGTAAAGTTAATGTCTAACCAATAATGCCAGCAAAATTTGTTTCTTTTTTTCTTTTTCAAAATATGGCAACCTAAAATATCCTTCAATGTAGGCAAATACTCACCTCTTACATTGACCAAAAAAGGCTCGATAACAAAGCTCGCGAGGATTTCACACACGTGAGGCGCAGGTTTTAGTCTTGTGCCTTCTTTAGCCAAAAGTACCATTTCTGGATGACAGTCTGAGTGTCAAGTAGCGTGCGTTTGAAATGATGGCGATATAACTGGATAAAGATTAGTTCAGTGCAGTATGTTAGCTCTCCTTTAGTTCAAAGAGACTGACAGGTGGAATTGGTAGATTGAAGTTCTTCACGAGATCCGAATCACTAGGGAGAGCAAAGTAACTGTTGAGGCTTGAGAAATCTGTATCAACGTACTGTGTAGGTCATTTCAAGCAATTACCTACATTCGTTAATTTATACCTTTCTGATCCTTTAAAAAAATAAAATTTAAATCTATTGATTTTAAAAAAATAAAAACGGTTGATTAAGTGCGAATATCTCGAGAAGGAAATCTCGAAGTAGCGTGCTCGCAAAGGGCGATAGAAACATCTGCGCGAGACGTACATTGGTGGGCCAAATGTAGCATTGGAAGATGTCACGTCGACGTCCACTTTTGCGGTTAGGCAGAATTTTGCGGAAATATTCCAAAAAGCCTTTGTCTACGTTTGCCTCTCTATCACTATTCGCTAATCGCTGGCTACATCAGTGGCGGATTTAGGAGTTGGTCTAGGGAGGAGCGCATATAATTTTTAATGTGAATATATTAACATTTATACGTATAAAAATAGAACATTAATTTTTTAGCATAATACATAATATATTGAACAAATAACTAATTATTCATAAACTAAGAAAAGAACAAACCAGAAAATGTCTAAATGACAAAGTCGAGCTTTCTTTTTCTCGGTGCAAATAATTTTTTCCACTTTCCACGAAATTTGTCCAAGGTGTTCTTACACGATTAGGGCATTGTGTACAGGTACACCATCTTGTTGAAACCAACAGTTTCCAACTTTTGCTTTCTTTTGTGTGTCGGACATCGTTTTATTCGTAAGAAAAAATGCTACTCAACATAGTAGGTATCTACTTTTTTACGGGGCATATAAAAAAATAAAGTTGATAATGATTTCTCCGAAATGAAACGTCTCAACGTCCCTTGTAAAACTCAATAAGTGACAATGAGAAAATGTTTTTTTTTGTATCTGCTGAAATATCAGAAAAAATAAAAACGAAATCAACAAATTTCTTGTCTCTAATTTGACTATCTTCATATCTTCTATGGTTTCCGAAAACCCCATGATGACCGCCTGCGTAACTACCACTCCTGTCTAGGAGGGGGCGCGCGTCCCCTGCGCCCCCTCTTTAAATCCGCGCTTGCTGGCCAGAGGAAGATATGCATTGCATAAGAGTGAGAAAATTACTTTGGAAACAATTCAATATATTGATTACCTACTCTTGCGAGTTTGAGACTGTTCGTTGATAGTTAGAAAGATCTGACAAAAATTGTGCACAACTTAAGTGTACTTGTACAATACGAATGTGTTATCCTCGGTGTAATCTTAGTTTCAAATTATCTACCAAATATATAAAATAGGCGAGACAATAGGTAAGTAAACGTTTTATCCGAAATTCCTATACGGAATGTGCCACAATGCCACATACACTACTATTTAGGCATTGTGCTCTACGTTTCTTGTATAGTAACTATTGCTTATTATCATCAAGTTCAAATGTATTTACTTATCAGCAGGCTTATCAGTCATTTGATAAAGCGCCGGGTCACTCAGCAAATTACTTGCACTTTTTAATCAAACAGCCTGTCATTTTAATTGATTTATATGTCGTTCACCCCCTCCCACCCCTCCTGTGTGGGGTTTTTCCTTAAACCATATATGTATAGTACAATGATTGCTATTAGCCCTATGCTTTAAATACAAAATGGGTGGTCACGGATAGAGGGCACTGTAGTATTAAAGTCACTAGATTTAGTGACTTTAGAGGGTATGTGAATCTCAGGGTACACTAAAGGCGTGTAAACACCACTCGGATCACGTAAAGAGTAGCTTTTCTTGTAATCGCGTAGTACGGGAAGCTATTATCTTTTATACGTCCACAAATAAGAATAGGTTTACTTTTTTGGCACGACTAATTAATTGGCGCTTGATAATTTATAGGTTGACAGTCTCATATCGTATCTAATCGGACAACATCGGACAGACTCGTTTACCCTGAAACTCACATACATAGGCGATGTCCTTGACCATGTTTTAGTTTCAATTAGCAGTACATGTACTATATGGTCTAAGGTTTTTTCGCACTATCTTGTGGAGTAACATTGCATGTCACACGTTTTGACCTGTGAGAATTATTTGGTTTTATTACAATAGTGTCTACACCTTACACTTAGACCTACATTGAGTAATTTAACGCTTAGCCTAGAGTTAGACTATGAAAGAAAGGGGACGGATAATATCCTATGCAATGCTGCGCGTTAAGACAAATTTTCGTGTGGCGGCCATATTCTTGGTGCACAAAAACTGTTTACCTTTTGTTTATTACATCAGCATTTCTTTACCAGTGGCGTACCTCCATTGTATTTGAAAAGATTCAATAAATGTATAACGTATCGGTTTGTTTGTCATGTCATGTCGTGCAGAAAAATAAAGATTGTGTACAATTTCTACTTGTTTGAATTGTGTTTCCAATATGTACCTACGGTTGCTGCTTTTAACCTTACGCCAGTGTACTGTATAGGCGGCCATATTTTGGATCATGGTATATGTTTTGGATGCACAAACAAATCTCTTTACGATCATTATGATCGCTCCTCTCTCTTTCCTTCTTTAAGCTAAGGTCTATACTGTTAAAAGTACTTAACATTTTCTTCAAATCTAGAAAATTAGTTCTGCGCATGCGCTCACTTTTATTTTATTCGGTTTGGAAATAAGTATTTTTAATTCTGATCGATATTGATTATTGTTGTGCATTTTAAATAATAGCCGGTATATATAGAAACTGGTAATATGTCAATTTCAATAAATTTCAGTCATTTAAAGAAAGCAGACACTTTTATTACCAAATTTTTTTCCAGTATAGGATTCGCTACATATAACCAAAGAGTAACCATAATAAGAGATTCAACGGCATAGAGAATAGTGTTGCATATGTATTGTGTGTTGCCTAACAAATTTTACTGCTTTTTCTCAATTTATTGGCGTACGCTACGCCTTAGGGGCTATTTCAAGGCAACTACTTGGTTAGACGTTTATAAATATTGCAGAAATCCCAGCGTTGCCAAATGTTTAGTGTTTGCTTGTACTTATTTAGGTATCTATTATTCCTTGAAATGTATGATGTTTAGAGATATGTTATTCCATTCTACGCTTATGCCACAATTTATTAAGGTCCGAACGCTTGTTGGTTTGATTCATAGGTGCGAAGATATGTTCTTCGTGTAACAATAAGCCGTTTTTTGAGCGGTAAATAATTATACGATCAAACGAACTTACCTGTGAAGTTCGATCGTAATTATATGAGACATCCAATCCGAAGACATTAGTTAGAATACTATGTAGTTCGTCCTTCTCGAACTCAATCACGAGTGTTTAAAGAAAGGTATATAGGAGCAAAACAGGCCCAATCCTAGGTCCGCCACTGGCACGCAGCTCGCCAGCGCCTACCCGAACTTAGGTACTTCATTTGTTTATAGATTAAATACTGAAAAACCTAGGGTCTGGGTGGGAAGGGTGTAATGTCTTCGGATTGGATGTCTCATATAATTACGATCGAACTTCACAGGTAAGTTCGTTTGATCGTATAATTATATTTCGCCATCCAATCCGAAGACATTAGTTAGAATACTATGTAGCTGTTTAAAGATGACAGGTTTTTCAGGATATGTGAGAAAGAACTCTGCTTTCCGAACTGAACTGGTTTAATAATTTTAGAACTACGTTGACCTAGCTAGAACTAAGTACAGTATTAGCAAACAGGTTGGCTTCCGAAAACGGTCTTTTGTAGAAATTACAAAAAGTTTTGGACTTCGCCGTCCATCCTGCCGTTTGACGAATAGTCTCCACTGGCACTCCTAATTGGAAGGCTTTCGATGTTGCAGCATGGCGGGTAGAGTGTGCTTTGAAGATTTTGGTATTCACACCAGCCTGTTCCAACGTGTCCTTCACCCACCTACTTAGTGTCTGCTTACTCGCTATCCGATGAGGTTTCTTGTATGTAATAAAGAGGAAATCAGTGTTTGACGTGCGTAGTTGTTTAGTCGCTGCCAAGTACTCCTTTAATGTTGTGGCTACGCAAAGATTAGGAGTCTCAGTGAAGTATGGAAGTTGTAGACAGGGTTGCTTTCTTCCCGGGCCAGAAGTTTTAATTTTGTCTTCTATTAATATTTGAAACCCAGTCCTTGACTCAATGATGTTGGGTAGCCGAATTAGGGAAAACGTCTGCATTCGGTGAGCCGTTGAAAGAGCCAGAAGTGTGACTAGCTTCTCGGAGAGCGCTTGCAAGGTGGGCGTAGAACGTTTTTCCAGGAAACTTAACACTATGTGAGGGTCCCAAACCACATCGTATCGAGGTTTTTGCGGTCGCAGCTTCGATATTCCCTTCAGGAAACGACTAACAACTGGGTGGCCAGCTAAATCGGTGGACAAGATTAGAGATAGGGCCGAACGATGCGAGTTGAAAGTTCCATAGCTCTGATTGCCTGTATCGTAGAGATACTGCAGGAATTCCATCACATGTGCAGGTGTGCCGTCAAAGGGAGAGATGCCTTTTTTGGCGCAGTAGGGCCACCAGAGCTTGAACGTCCCTCCATATTGTTGGATGGTTGCTTCCGATAAGGAGTGCAAAATTGTTTCTACTACATTTTTTGGCAGCTCCTTTCGTGTAAACGCTTCCCTGATAACCTGGCCGCCAGTAGAGAAAGGTTGTTCGCCAAAGGGTGGGGTTGCTTGCTGTAAGGATGAAATAACAAATCATTACTAGGATGAAAAACGATTGGCTCTTGGGCCAATAAGTTAGAAAAGAGTGGGAACCAGGCTTGATTTTCCCACCTTGGGACAATTACAATTCCTTCAGCCTTGTCGTCGATTATCTTTTGCAATACTCTTAAGATCAAGGCGAATGGAGGGAAAGCATAGAAGGCCAGATTACTCCATTGAATAGTGAAGCTATCAACCTTGACGGCATCAGGGTCCCTTTGCCAGGAAACATAAATAGGGCATTTGTGATTGTTTTTGGACGCGAACAAATCTATCTCTGGTAACCCGAAGCGTTTGGTCACCACCTTAAACGCCCTGTTGCTTAAGCTCCATTCGGTTTCGGGTGTTAGGCTCCTGGATTCTCTGTCGGCTATCCAATTGTCCGAAGAGCTGATATAGGACACGTGCAGCCAAAGGTTTCGCTCCTCACACCATTCCCAAATCCTCTTTGTGAGATCAAAAAGCGCTGAATGGTGAATGCTCCCCATTTTATTAATATAAGATAACGCAGTAGTATTATCGCATCTTAATAAGATGTTGCTGTTGGAGCAGGACGAAGCAAAACCTTTAAGTGCAAAGAAAATTGCTAAAAGCTCTAGGTAATTGATATGATGTAGTCTGTCTTCAGGAGTCCACCACCCACGAATTCTACTCTCTCCGCAGCAAGCACCCCAACCAGTAAGCGAGGCGTCTGAAAAAACCTCCAGCACAAATTGATCCTTCCTAATGTCATTAAAAGCAGCGTCAATTGAAGTAAGCCACCAAATAAGGTCTCGCTGTAAGTCTACGTGCAGTGACATTGACGCAGAGTACCTCCCTTCACTCACCTGGAGGGCCAAATGTTTGTGCCGTTCGAAAATTTTGGTACGTAACCACCCGTATTTGACTCCCGGGCAGACCGACACCAGATAGCCAATAAAACCTGCCCAATCGCGAATTTTACAGCGTTTCAAAGACAAGAATTTACTGGTCCACTTCTTTATTTTTTCTTTCTTTTCTATTGGCAGAAAAATTGTGAGTTGCTCCGAATCGAGCATAAAGCCCAGGAATTTGATGGTCTTGTTAGGGATTAACCGGCTTTTTTGTAAGTTAATGGAAAATCCCAGAGACTGCAAAAAATCGACTGCTACCTTAGTATTACGGAGGCAGCCATCGTAGGAAGAATTCAATAGTAAGATATCGTCCAGGTAGCACACGCACAAAATATTATGAGATCGCAGCCATTGTGTTACCGGGCGCATGAGTTTAGTGAAAACATAGGGCGCGGGAGATAACCCAAATGGCAGACAGGTGAACTCGTATAACTGCCGATCAAACTCAAATCTTACAAATTTCCTAGAATTTGGGTGGATTCGTATATGGAAGTAGGCGTCCTTAATATCGATGGATGTAAACCAGCAGTCTTTTTTGATGAGTCTCAAAGCAGTTCTAATGTCCTCCATTTTAAAATGGGGAGACTCTAGGAAAGTATTAAGATACTTTAAATTCAAAATGAAACGTTTCCCGCCATCGGGTTTATCCGCTAGGAAGATATTGGAAACACACTGTCCCGGGTGAGACTCGCACCTCACTATTGCTTTGGACTTTAGTAGAGACTTGATTGCATCAAACATATCTAAATTCTGGGCTGTCCAAACTTTAGGTAAGTGCCCGATGCAAAAACTTGGTGGGGTGGCGAAAGGTAGTTCATAGCCTTCTATCCACTGGAGTAAAATAGGGTTTGTCGTTATTTTGCGCCAGTTAACCAGGAAATGATGGAGTCTGCCCGCAATAGGACTTACCTGAATTAGCGTTTGTAACTCTTTAGATGGGGTTTGTGCCCTCGGGATGACCTCGTCACACCTCTGTGACGGGTCGGGCCGAAGCGGTTTAAAGGACGGCCATCTCTTTCAGTAGCGAAGGCTCTTGAATCCCGTCTTCGAAAACTTTCGCTCCGTCCCCCTCTGGCTGTTGAAAATCTTGTCCCGGTACTCGCTTTTAGCTCCTTCCCTGCAGTCTGTATAGATTTTGCGTCCCGTACGCACTCAGAGACGTTGGCGCCAAAGAGAAGCTCCCCTGGCTTGGTCTTTTCTAGAGCTTCTTTTATATTGTTATTGAGCGTTGGTACTATCAATTTGCGCCTGGTATCGGAGATAACAAAAAGCGAATTTACCAAAATACGACTAGCATCACCCAAAGGCATTAAAATGGCATCTCGAAGGTCCTTAGCAATTGAGCTGTCCTGTAAAAGTAACGACATCGCTCTACCCATGGCAGTCAGAGCGGTAGCAGTTCTGCTATGAATCTCCTTGTAGGAGTTGTCCCGAGCTGATCTGTCGTTCGCTAGAACCGAAAGGATCTCGGGGTTCAACACAGGAGGAGCAAGTAGTGAACAGTTTCCCGGGATGCTATATTGTTCACTCAGCTTTTGAAGGGTTTCTAATGAGACACCGTTCTGTAAAATATGGGTCCAACGGGACGCAATTGCCTCGTGTAAGTTAGCAGCCTGTGTTGACTTGACCGGGCCGTCGTTCCCCAGGACATCAGCAAACTCGTCTATATCTAAAGGGATATTCTCTAAAGAGAGAATATTCTCGTCCACCAACGGTTCGGTAATGGCATCATCCCGAATGACCAATGGTGGCTCCGGAGAAGCACTTGGCCTCGGACTGAAGGTGACCTGCAAGTCCGGGGAATCCCTGTGGCTTAAAGAAACCCGAGGGGACCGATCGCGCCTTGAGGAAGGTGACGGTGTGGTGCTTAAAGAAGCATGGGGCGAACTGGTATGCCTGGTGTACCTACTACCACTTGAAAAAAGGTTTGAATTACGTGTATCGCCGCAACCGTTTCTTGGGGAATGATCCCGGTTAGAACGAGATCGAGAGCAATGGCCGCTCGAGCTTGCACCGCTACTGTTATAATGGCGGGGTAAATTCTCCTTGTTCGAAACTAACAAACTCTCTAACCTACGTAAACGGTCACGTAATTCTCTTTTCGAGACACTTCTGCTCCTAGAACGGTGTTTTCTTGATTTTCCCATTTCTAAAATAGAGATAATTATAATCCAATATTAATAACCAACACAACGTGAGCACGAGAAAACGAAGAATGAAGTACCTAAGTTCGGGTAGGCGCTGGCGAGCTGCGTGCCAGTGGCGGACCTAGGATTGGGCCTGTTTTGCTCCTATATACCTTTCTTTAAACACTCGTGATTGAGTTCGAGAAGGACGAACTACATAGTATTCTAACTAATGTCTTCGGATTGGATGGCGAAATATAATAGATTTTTTAGTGTGTATTGTGTATTCCCAGTAAGCGCGAGTAATAAGCTCGCTTTGATTACGTCTCTGCCCTTTGTACACACTGTTCGTCGCCCTACCGTCGACGGACGTATGGAAAAGTCGACCGAACTAGATCGTTTAGTTACAGGAAGTAGTCTACGAACGATATTTACTTCCGACTTGCGCGGAAATAAACGAACATTTTTTTTTAATTTGTTGTCTACTTTAATTTGACTGTAGTAGACGATCTAAAAAGGATGGATAATAACAAATTTAATTTATATTTTTACAATTGTACCTGTTATTGGTTATTAAATTAAATAATAATTACTGTCTATTCAATAGACGCCAACTAAACAGGAAAATACCAATGTAATTAACAATAGGTACTGAATCGTTGCTGATTTCTTTTATACTTAAGCAATGTTTTCTAATTATATCATGTCCACATTTTATACAGCCAATAAGAAAGAAAATTAAATGTGACAACCGCGCAAATATTTTAAGCCGAAATTCTATAAAGAATTCTGTAAATTTTCAATACGCGCCAATATTTAAAGAGGTTCTGAGTTCTGGCCACCTCTACGCGAGGGCCCGCTTTTGGAATCCTAGCGGGCGAGTTCTTATAGCCAACACGCGTTTATACCATTGCGCTGTATCTCTTATTATGGGTACTCTTTGATATAACCAAAGAGGGGTACTCTTTGATATAACTATAATGTACTAATATACTATAATTTATTTAAGATTATAAAGAAAATGGAACCAAGAAAGTTTTATCGTAGAAAACCAAAACCTACACTCGAATAATTTTGTGTCGGGCTTCAAAACCGATAATTAATTTCTTGGATTAAACTTACTTACATCTTTGTTATTGTGTTATTAATGTGGTATTTCATTTCAGATTAAAAATGCCGATTGATTGTTATTACTTACCTGCAAGCGCCCCATGCCGCGCGGTGTTGCTTACTGCAAAAGCTATTGGAGTTGAGCTTAACCTAAAACGGATAGACCTGATGAAGGGGGAGCATTTAACTCCTGAATTTTTGAAGGTAAGTATTTGTTATGAATGGATGTTATTTAATTCCCTAATAGGCTTATATATGGGTGGGGTGGTTCATTCAACTAAATCATTTCAAAATAATCTAAATGACATCATTATGAAAAATTTTCCTGTGGGCCAAAATGTGTAGAGAATCAGGTACCTACCTACATAACTTTTATATTGGACACATTGTTTTATTCAACGGATGGTTAAACATAAATAAGATAATAAAATAATGTGAAAATGACCAAACACAAGCGATTTGACCAGAACCAGAATAAATTATTGAACGGTCGATATGTATCATTTTGTCTTGTCTTTTATTGTTTTATATGGATGAAACACCAATGCCTACCAAACCATTGATAAAAAAGGAATTGCGGTTTAACGGAATGTTTGTACCGCTTAGTACCAACAAGTTAAGATAATGAGTAGTCTTGAACTTTCACCATGTTATTACATAATAGGTTATTGCACCTAATATGCGGCTTTGCAAGAGCGCCAAAATGATAGGCTCGAATGAATTCAAACGCTTAATAACAGAGAAAGAAGTAAATAACTGAAACTTATAAATAAACCCGTTAATCATCGCTTCGACTGTAATATACATTTCAATATTATTTTGTTCTATTGTATAGGATCTACCTACGTGCTTACACATCGCATGCAATGAGAAAAAGTGTAATAACTAGGTTTAATTCTCCAAGGAATTCATAAGGTCAATCATTTCATTAATTATTAGGAAGGTATCTTTCCGAGATCACACTGTCCAACTGGTCAATAAAAACGTGACAAGAGGGTGTCGTGTAGGAACTAGGAATATATAAAAGCAACAATACAAACATTAGTTTTTATGTGCCTAAAGCTTCGTACACATAAGCATTGATTATATACTTATAATCAATGACATAAGCCTATGAACGTTCCAAAGTATTTCTGCTTCAAAAAGCGTATCAGCGTTGAGTGAAGAAATTCCTTCACTCAACGGTGTCAGCTCAGTAAGTACCTACCTATGGTTCTTTTGCGCTCTTCAATATTAATGGTAATTAATTGGTATAGTTAAATATTCTGTGGGGGTGGGTATCCTTTAGATTCTTTGTTGTGGGACACATTATGTTTCATCAAGCGTGCTTTACCAGTATTACGACCCGCTCCGACGTTAGTAGACATTAAATATCTAACTTAACTTGTAGTTTCAATGTAATTTCTACTCCATCATGCAAGATAGCAATAACGCAGACAATATCAAAGATTTCGTAAGTGGGAAAACTATTGTAGGTAAATTCCTGCCACAAAATACCAATTTATTATAAAGTACTTTTTAGTAGCGCGATTTCCTATTTTCTAAAAAATTATGTATGTTGCAAAGTCATGCTTACTTTTACGTAATACTTGTTAAACACTTCAACCTTGATTCTTGAGCATTACATCATTATGCTTTTAATTAAATGATTGGTGTCCCTACACCATTACTTCCTCTTAACATTAAGCTTAAATTCATTAAGTTTTTTTTACAAAACTTCTTACTGTATCAGATTTTAAATTAAAAACACCATTTCTGAAATATAGACGGAGCATTTTGCAATCTCCTTTTTTTATTACCTACCTACTAAAATCCCCCAAAATTGTAGGGTATCCATTATTTCCTGAACATAAGACTACATAAGAAACTTTTGATCGTAAAGGTAATGTGCCACTCTATGAGAAGTATATGGATACCTGGAGCTTTGTAAATAAAAAAAAAATATTTTAGACATTTAGAGCACCCGTTATTATTATTATTTAAGTACCCACTTATCATCTACAGCTATCACTACAGTTATTATAATTTGCAATTTATGTTTTTATCTTGATTATAGATTAATCCACAACACACTGTTCCTACGATCGTCGACAATGGGTTCGCCTTATGCGAAAGTCGAGCCATTATGACCTACTTGGTTTCCAAATATGGAAAGGATGATTCCTTATATCCGAAAGATCCACAAGTAAGGGCAACAATTGATCAAAGACTTTACTTCGATGTATCAACCTTGTACACTCGTTTTGGAGAATATTACGTGAGTATAAATACACCCTTTCACTTGGTGTAAACCTGCTTTCATTTGTAGTATCCAGTTATCTTTGCTGGAAAATCCTTCGATCCTGCCATGCTGAGCAAACTTCAAGACGCTGTTAAATTTTTGGATGTGTTTCTGGAAGGTCACGAATATGCGATTGGTGATAAGTTGACACTTGCGGATCTTAGCCTGGTGACAACAGTTTCGACACTTCACGCCATGGAATTTGATTTGTCAGGCTGTAAGAATGTATTACGCTGGTATGAAAAGGTTAAAGCCACTGTGCCAGGGTATGAGGAAATTGATGGAAAGAATGCGGTTGCCTTCAAGCAATGGGCAGATACCTTGATAAAGAAGTAACTTTGCTGCAAGTAAATACTTGTATTAGCTACAACATTTTATCGCACATTAAATACATGTTTCCTAATTATACATAACTTATTATTTTGTACTTAAGGTACTTATAAATAAAACAATATTGATTGTATTATTTTAATTAGTTATGTATGGAACATTTTGCCCTGGAAACTGAAATTTGCCGATTTCGTTATTATTTTTTTCTGAAGTTTTAAAAAATAGCTTCTTATTGGCACGATTTGAGCTCTACAAAACACTGTTGAAAGATTTTCAATTCAACGTTTCGTTACGGAGAAATCATCATCAACTTTATTTTTTTATATGGCCTGTGAAAAAAGTGCATACTGTATTGAGTAGCATTTTTATACGAATTCAACGATGCACGGCACAAAAAAAAACAAAAGGTTGGAAACTGTAGTGATTTCAACAGGATGGTGCGGTGATCGTTTGTGAATACCTATGGGAGAAATTTCCTGGAAAATGGAAAGTATGTTCGTAAGGTATTCTCGCACAATTAGGGCGTTATGGTCGGATGAACCATCCTGTTGAAACCAACAGTTTCCAACTTTTGTTTCTTTTTTGTGTGCCATGTATCGTATTTGTAATAAAAAATGCTACTCAATACAGTGTGTCCTTTTTTTATAGGCCATAAACCAAATCGGCAAATTTCAGTAATAGAATGGATACGAAACGGAGTCAAGTCGATATGGAAACGGAAGGGCGCGCGACTGAATGTCTTACGCACGTATCACCCTTTCACAATAATTTACGGAATGTTATGGAACGGATATGGTATGGAAACGTAATGTATAGTACTCGTATAGTGACGCTGTAGTCAATTTGTATTTCAATGTTATTGCAATTGGTTAGACTACCAACAATACACATTTCTAGGTGATGTACTCCTTGCGTTGTCTGTCCGTCCGTCCGTTAGCACGATAACGAATGGACCATTGAAATTTTGGATTCTTTATCAAATTTGTAGATCGGAGTTCGTGAATTGGCAATGTAGACCAAAAACTAAAGTAGGCCCTTTTGACATTTCCGTTAGTTATTCACCGAATTGCATGAAATTCAATATGCGCATAGCTTTAGCCATACAAAACACATTCACATTCCAAAAGTTGAGCCTAATCAATCAGCATTCACAGTGCCCTTTGCGCATCTCGGCCATTTACAGACCAAAATTGCAAACTTTCTTAATTATGAAGGAATTTAAATGAAATTTGATACATAGCCACTTGGAATAAAAGCAAATTTAACGTCAGTTTCAAAATTTGGTTTTGCGCATGCGCAGTGCCAACTTCTTATTTATGGAGGCATTTAAATGAAATTTGATACATAGCCACTTGGAATAAAAGCAAATGTAGCGCCATTTTCCAAATTTGGTTTTGTGTAGGATGTGCCAACTTTCTTATTTATAGAAGCAATTAAATGAAATTTCATAAATACACTTTAAATAAAAGCAAAGCCATGCGGTATAATAAAAAAGCAAAACTAACATCAGGTTTAAAATTGGTTTTGCACGTCATGCTATAGCCATACCCAGGAGCTCGTTTGCTATATTTGTTTAATTTATTGTTAAACACAATAGACCATATGTATAATGATCAAAGACTAATTATGTAAACAAGTTTATCGAAAAGCTGTACAATATTTGACTGGAGATGCACAAATACCTATTTCTTAATTCTTTTACAATTGAATAAATTACTTATTCAATGCAGTTAATGCATTTTTCTATAATAACACCTTCTGTAAATTACCTAGTTCTAAGTTAATTAGTGGATTAGATTAGCATTGTTTGTTAACATTTTTAATTACCCCTTTATTTCCTGTCATTTGTTTCTAATCAATTTCACTGATTTATAGATTTTTATAGTTATTAGACATGTGCATGAATGAATTCACTTAGGTATGGCAGATCCTAATAAACCGACACTTCGAACACCTGAAATAAATCTCTTTCTTTTCTTATAATATAAGGGTGAACAAAAAAAATGTACCTAAGTATTTTTTTTTATAAAAATGGTAACTAAAATTTCAAATTCTGTTACAATGATTAAAAAATATAACATATACCTACCAATAGGTTGAAATGACTTGAATATTTCACCATTAAGTTTTTTCGACCTATTGGTCGAAACGACAGATCACCTATTTAGTAGCATTTCACCAAAATAAATAGATTTCACTCGAGTAAAATAATGGCACGAAAGTGCCGGTCTGTTTCAACTATAATCTGTTCACCCAACAGATGCAGTTAAGCCACTCCCAATTAATTTGGGCCAATGTAATAACAGACCCGTTTCAGTCACAAAATTATAAAAACCGGGAAATTTAAAATCGCATGTCACATTGTACGACGAAGTTATAAAGTGTTATGTTTTGAATATTGATCTTTGAACACACAGCAGTACATAGTTTCAAATTGTTTATTAAGTTCAGAAAGATTATTTTGTTCGTATAAATGAAATTAACGGCAAATTGAGGCAAGACAAATACAAAACGCAGTGACAGGTTTGAGGTTAAGGATGTCAATTCAGATGCGGCAATTATAATTGGAAGCAAATAGTTGCGTGTGTTACAGGTTTTGAAAATTCGGCTAATTAAAAATGTTCATTTAAATTTGCCGGGATTTTTTGGTATATGAGGTCTACTGCATCTGTTGGGTGAAGGTATCAATGTCGACCTAAACAATAGGTAATAGGTTGTGAATCCCTGGTAGTAGGTTACAATCATAAGTTGTGTTGCTAACAGGTGTATTAATCTACCAAAAGAAGTTACATGTGCTCCTAATAGGTGTCGATTTAGTGAACGTAGGTGGAGTTTGGTGTTGGACTTACACTTAATAGGTTGGTTTAGTTAGTTAGGTCGAATTCCCAACATACTTAGTTGCGATTACACGTATTAGTATACTTAAACAGACCACCAATAAGTATATAATACGGTATTTACATGAATTTGTTACAATTAGGTGTATAAAAATTGGTAATATTGTACACCAATTAGGTAATAGGTATCAAAAGTAGCTTGTTCTTCACCAACTTGAAACATGAGGTCGAAAATATAGGTGCAAATTAGGGTATTCTACTTATTAGATTAATATAACGAGAAGGCAGACATATTTATTGGCTAGCGTAGATGGCCGAAATATCATCATACATGTTTTTTAGCATTAATGAATAAATATGTGTTATACAATTAAAATATAATTATATTTAGGTATTATTAATGATTGTATGTTATGTTTGAATAAAATACTTAAACTGCCAAAAATGTACAACTATAAAAATGAAAAACGAATAATTATTTTTTTATTATTTTTATAATAGTTATTTCAGAGGGGCTTTGTGTTTTTTGAAGGCAGAAGATATATGTTTGTCATAGAAAATGCATTCGCACGAAATATTTCTACACAGAAATCATGAAATTAAACATATTCAATATTTTACATATAATAGGTAATTTGTCTGACATGACGCCAGCCATAAAGTTCATAACAGTATTCTTATTTAACTGTAGGTACTATTCTTTAAAAAGAGAGGACAATAATGAAGTATGGTTATAAGTTCAAAACGACATGTAGAAAATAAGTAATCCGCCACGTCGATTCGACGTAGAAAATTACCTAATAAGGTGTCTAGCCACCTAACACCTATTAGTTGAATCACACCTATT